TTTTTTTTTTGTCTTTTTGAGACAGGATTTTGCTATGCACTTCATGCTCACCTTGTACTCACTTTGTAACCAAGGCTGTCCTTGAACTCTCAGCAATCCTCCTGCTTCAGCCTCTCAGGTGCTGAGATTATAGGTGTGAGCCACCACACCTGGCTCTGCTTGTTACTTGTGCCTCTCTCTTTTTCTCTCTGTCTCTCTGTCTCTCTCTCTCACAAACACACACACACAGATACACTTATTTAGTCCTCAAAACAATCTTATTTTACTACATTAGGCAGATGAGAAAACAGAATAAAAGCACAAGCAAATTCAGTAATGTACCCTAAATACCACAACTAGTCAGCATTAAAGACAAAGTGAACTACCACACTAAGAATCTTTTCTTCAATATGTTCTATGTCAGGTTTATTTCAAGAATTCAACAAGTTTGAGATCACATTTATTCCTGAAAATGTGCAGACCTGACATTCCTGAGATAATGCATCACTTTAGATCATCTACCCAGATTATTTTTTTTAAAAAGTAGTATGCCTCATTATTACTGGAATCCCCTCGGGATATTGCTTGTAACAGTTAAGGTTTCTCAGGAAAACCTTAGGTGGCATTGACTCAGAGTTTTATAAACATAACTAGTAAAATTAGTTTACTGTTAGGAACCAGTATCCCATATTGATCTCCTTTCTTAGATTTCTTTATTTTACTCAGTATGTAGAAATTCACTGGGTAGGTTTTATAGTCCTTATAAAGGCTGTAAAATATGACTGTCCAGACTGATAAATGTGGCACACTAGATCAAGGTAGGTGGTGAAACCGACACTGTTCGGTTCCTAAACATAATTCTTATAGAGCTGGGACATAAGCAAATTGCTGAGATCTTAGAATATTTTAATTATCATCAGATTTCCACGGTTGCAAAGTCCCAGTTAATTTTCATTTATCTATTGACACTCAGACCAAGTAGTATCTTTTTATAAAACCTTGATTACTTGAGGTAGAGTTATTTTTTCCTGTGTCTCCCATAGCACTGTGCATACATCTTTCTACTCTAATACATCCTAAATGGTTATCTACGAAAAACCAGCCAAGGGCTCTGTTGTTTTATTTCATATTATCCCACTGCCTTATAGAATACCTGATAACTGATTATTACTGAAAACAGCATCTTTCTCCAAATTATAAAGCAAAATTTGTTCCCTTACCAGATTACAGGTTTAGTGAAGAGATAGATATTTTTCCATGTACCATATGGAAGTGTCATAGAACCTTAAAACTTGATTACTTACGATGCTTGTGGATAAACAGCAGCTGTTCACTTAGGACTCTGTGACTTACCTTACTTGACTTGTGGTCCACATTGAAAGTGGCAATAGCATCCTCTGTTTTTTTCCTCCCAGATTTGGCTATAACATATTCAGCAAGTTTGTTTGCTAAATAGGTCTTTCCAGTACCACTTGGTCCTGAGAGTATAATTCTGTGATGCTCCATCAACAAGTTAAAGTACCTTTGGGTAATTGGTTTAGGAATCAGTGTATCAAAAACAAAACTATCCAAACTGTTTTCTTCTACTCCTGAAGGAGGAAAACAAAGAAAATGGTATGATGTATTGTTTTCTACAAGAGAGAATTAAAAATCTGGTGTCAACCAGCAACAGAGCTTCATTAGTCATAGGAACACAGTCCCTACAAAATAATTTGTAGGTGTTTCTAGCCCACAAACATGTGTGGCCACTTGTAGAGAGAAAATACATCAGGAGGAAGGCAGCGTGACGATCCCACTGGGAGCAAAGTGCTTCCTTTTCCTCAGGCTTGCCTCCGCTGACTACTTCATGTTTTCCACTTATGTTTGCAGAGAGAAGTGAAAGCATTCTAAATTCTAGCACAAAACATTCCTCCCCTTTGAAAGTGGCAAGTTCTGTTAAGAATAAATGTGAGGTTTATGTAATATGTCCACGTGTCTCTGAGTATGACCTTTCTGTTTAACTTTTTTTCCTTTTTCTTTATTGTTATCTATTTCTCATTATGCATCCCAGCTGTACAACCACTTCAGCTTTTGAAGAATACAAATTCTGACATTTAGCAAGGAATTAGGAAGGTAGCAACAGTGTGTCTCCTTTCACTAACCCAATTATCTTAATCATAAAACCAAATATTGATGAATTCCTGCACTGACCCAGTTTGTGTAAATTCATCGTGATTCTCAAACATATACAAACAAAGAATTATGGAGACAAGATACTTCAGGTGTTACATTAGCCTATAATTAATCACATCAACCAAAGCAAAGAAACCAGAATTTCTCCCTCCTGACTCTTGACTTCCTTTCTCTCTCTTCAGTGGTTATTTATTGAGTATACATGTTTTCAAGTCAAAAGTATAGTGATGAATATACTACCTGGAATAAAAAATAAAAATTTTGAGTTCCCTAGTCAAAGATGAGAATGGGGAAAAAATCTAGAAATCTGAACCTCCCTCAATCACATCTTTCTCACACTCTTGGTGAATACTCAGACATGTGTTCTAAGTTTCACATACCAGAATTCAAAAAAATATTGACTTCCTTGGATTTTAATGCTTTCAGTAAGATTTTAATTCTTAAAAAATCAATATGGTCATTCCATACCAAAACTATCGAAGTGGTTAACATAATTTATGAATATGAAAATTTAAGGGGAATTTGCAAAAACAGGAGGATAATTTTGGTAAAAGGTTACAGTTGTGCTTTTCTTTTCACTTTCATTTTTACCTTTTAAATTCACAGTGATGGTGTTATTATCTCCTACAAGATATCCACAAGGCAGCAGTTCAGGCACTTCTAAGTTAGGGGATCTAATTAAATCCCCTATACAATAGCTAGCGATGCAGTCAGAGCTCAGACCAAGGCTGGAAGTTGTATCAATTCGGAACACATACTCCTGAAAGAGTACACACACAAACAGTAAGATGAAATAAAGGTTCAACCATCTGTAACAAACATAAAGGTCTCAGGATAAAAAGATAGATGTAACAAATTTTGGAGATGGGTAATGCAAGTACTGCTAATTTCAAACAGTACAAGAAGAGAAAGCTTTGTTTAGTTTAAATAGAAAGGACAATCAAAAATATTTAAAATATTAGAGTTAAGGATATCTTCTAAAGAGAAACACAAGCAAAATAGCACCAGGATATCTTGTATGACTGACCTTAAAGAGTCGTCTAATTACACCATCTAAGACGTCCCATTTGGTTTTTCCACTGACACCAATGGATCCAATCAAATATGCCTGAGACTTCTGATCCTTAACCAGAACAAAATAAAGTAAGATAAAATCCAATTATGCATTTTATTTTATTGGCATGTCTTCTCCCAACACTTAATGATGTAATCAGTGATTACTAAATAATTCATTTAAACTAAAACTCATTAAGCCATGGTTGGGTGTTTAACTTTAACAAAGGAAATGAGTTATATAATAGAGGATAGCTTGGCAAACTAAGGAACCAAGTAAATTAAAGTAATAGCAGTAGCAACAATAGCAAGCAAGAAAGTGATTAGTTGATTTGTTAAGAAAAATTGATTCATGACATTTTCAGTAAAAGAGAAAGGGGAATGGAATCAAGAATAGTCTTGCATTTTAACGCAATGGGTCCATTCCTAACAAAAGGGATTTGGTAGGAGGGAGATGGTAAAAAAATCAAAGTAGCTCTAGATCATTGGAATCCTAGAAGATCATCTTACAATTTTATGATCTAATCGTTAATAAACCCAATGCTCGTCTTTTCATTTTTTAATTTTAATCCAATTCAGCTTTAAGAAATATGATATCTGTGAATTTACAAACAGGTCTAATTTTGAATTTAGAGAAAATTACGGGATTCATTTTACAAAGCAAAGAATATTTTTATAATATAAGTAATGATCTTAATTCTATATTTTTAGAGGATGGAAAATTGAGGAATTTCTAGGAGGGTTAGGAATGTAAACAGTTTAAAATTTGTAGTTCAAATGGTTTCTTTTATGTAGACTGGAAACAGTTACATGAAACAATGACTTTGACAGCAGTAGATACAATTGGTTACTACATTACAATCCTATTTCTAGTCACCAATTAAGTGGCCATTAATGGGTGGAGGGGACTGATCATGTGTTACATGACATGGATTCTACAAAATAATTTCTATCATCTCGTTAAAATAGTTACCTTTAGTAAGTCACTTAGCTGGCTCACACCCTCAATTTCTTCATTTACAATCTTTAACCCTATAAATGTAGATAATTACCACTATTCTTGAAACAACCCGTTAGAAGCCAATACTTTTGCCAGAAATAGTTGAGAAATTCACAGCTGAGACATTGTGGATTTTTTTTTTTCTACTATCATGGGCTAAATGTTTATAGTCCTTCCCACCCTCCTCACCCATTCATATGCTGAAATACTACTCAGTGTGAGGAGTTAATTAGAGTTAGATTAGTTGATTAGTTAGATTAGAGAGTGCATTAAGAGTGTAAAGCTTTTGTGAAGACAGTGATATTAGGGTGGCCTCTTTTCCTGGCCCCTCAGACACTGAGGTAAAGCCATGTGAGAACATATCAAGGAGTTGACCATGTGTAAACCCCGGAGATTGCCCTTTCCTGAAACCAAATTGGCCAAAACCTTCAACTTGGACTTTGTTAGCCTCTAAAACTGTAAAAAAGAAAAAAATTCTGTTGCTTGTAGTACTAGAAAGCAAGATGGCTTCTTTTGTAGAATGTTTACTAGGGGAAAAAAATGTTCAAACATACTGTCCTTTAGAATTATTCTAAAAAGAAAAACTTATTTTCAACGTATTTATAGTGAAGTCAAAATGAGTGTGTATATAATGCTTTAGAACAGCTGCTTTTAAATCACATTTAGTTTAGGTTTCACCGAGACAATTAGACATGAGGACCCACTTGGGAGAAGTAGGCACAAATCTGCTCAAGGGAAAGTTCATGGCTTTGGGTTCCTTGGAACATTCGCTTATTGTAAAAATTCACAAGTACTATGTCATGTCTCAAACGGTATTTCAATTATTTTAAATTTCTAAGGGATCTTGCTGCTATTGTTTAAAAGAGAAAAATCATATATTTACAAATTTGTATTCTTGGGTACTCAGCTAAAATCTTGACCAAAAATATCTCTTTAGTTTTGCAAAAGAGGTAAAATCAAACGGCATTGCCAATTTGAAGGTAGTTAAAGTACTTGCCCGATGAGCTAGGACCTTGCTTAAAAATGATGCAGACATGGGACACGAGTGAGATTTGTTATACTGATTTCAGTAGAATCCATTTCTGATGTCTACAGTATCATGCATTGTATAGTCTTTTCTTTGTACAAAGGATCTATTGTCACATCACTGTATGTCATAAATGCTACCTAAAAGATGCAAGTGTCTCTGAAAGAGTATGGAAAATAAAAATTTATGACAAAGACTGGAATTATTTCTTTTTCTAAGTTTTAAGAATGGGGGGTACCAAGTAATACTGACCATGTGATACATGTGAGACACATTTCTAATTATATAGTGATGCGATTCTTTATTATTTCTATGCTTTAGACCTATATAATTAACTTATGATAATGCCAAGGCAAGAACTTCCGATAGGATATTCAGCAGAATGAATATTTAAATACAAAATACATTTAACTCATAGGTATCCTTACTTTTCTATATAAAGAATATAAGATTAAAGAAATACCTTTGCCCGACCATAGCCCTTGCTTATGGAGACTATAATTTTCACACTGCGGCCATCTTTATGTCCAGATGTATCGCCAGCATCATCTAGTAAAATATCTATCAAATTTTAAAGAAACACACAAACAACAGGGTACCATTAGCTCAGATTTGTTTACTGCTCCTGTTTCTTCTCTTCCAAGTTTTTTTATTGTTCAGTGAAATCTGCTTCCCACTCTAGCCTAAATGATTTGAAACACCTCAGCTTTCAAAAACATACATTGCATGACTGGGCTAATGCCTCAATCTAAGGATATATTTCTGTTTCCAGTGATCTTCATCCATTTGTTGGGCCACTGCCTTTAGATGAGAAAATAAGATATTTCTTCCCTATTATAGACAGGTTTGAGTACTACCTGGGCAATAGTCAATCACCGTGATAACTGTAACTGAAGAACAATCTAATTTTTCTATCCAAACTAAATTGTCCAAGCTCAATATCCATGTAATTTATGAATACAAAAGTGATCAGATTGACTGTCAACTGAAATTATTTTCAAGCATTTGGTACATATGCAGTAGCGGTACTGCTTGCCTTATATCTATCCTTATTGGATACAGGTACTGAATTGTACTTCCCTACAGAAGAATATTATTGTTGTCCTGTACCCTTTATGCTAATAATTACAAAACCAAAATGATATTTTCAGAGTAATAGTCTAAAAGCAACAAAAGGGTGATAAAGTGACCTAAACTTAACTTATACACATTGTTAAATATCACATTTTTCTTATATTATATTATATTATATATATATATATATATAATGACAGGAAAAAGAGAAAAAAGATATTATGATTCAGTATAGACAATGTATCTAACAGTGTACCTTGGCTTAGCACAATTATGTTACATGTTTCATATGTTCTTTGGCATATTAATCTGGTTCTCAATCTGTATATATATGTATTAATTTTATGAGGTTTTATAAATAAATGAATCTGATACTGAAAAAACAAAAGGAGCAGTGGGTGGAGGGAAGGGTGGGAAAGAACTGAAATGTGTATGTACATGTACCAGTTCTCTACAGTGAATGATATCATTATGTACTACAACCATGTACATACAGCAAAAAAAATTATAAAAAATAAAATAAAATGCTAGCTTTTAAATGTGACTGAAGATCACTTTTCAAAGTGTATTATACCAGATGACTGTCCATATATATTTGCCATCAACAATGATGCTAGTATTGAGCCATGCTTATTATGCAGACAGTGTTTTGTGTATGAAGAAAACTCAGTTATGTGTTAAAGAGTATATGCTCCTAGTAACAAGCTAATTCAATTGCTCTGATAATTTTAGAGAGACAAAGGCTGTGACTGTAACATTAGAGAGACAACTATTTAATGAGAGGCCTTCTGAAAATGGAATGGCTTCTATTGTATTAATAGTTGCATATATGTAATTTTGCTGATATGTCAACTTCAGTGGCTTAAGAAATGCCCAGCAGATTAGCAAAGCTTACATAGGTCATGGAGGTATGCCTTTGATGCTATATATGGCTCTTGTCCTATCCATCTTTGCCTGGTTCCCCAGCTTCGGTTCCCAGCCACTGTGCACGCAGCAGCTTTGCTCTGCCTCACCCAGTGGTGTGAAGTTTCTCTCTTGGAACCAGCCTACCATAGACTGGATCCTCTGAAACTATGAGTCAGATTAAACCTCTTCTTTAAGTTGGGGGTGGAGCTTTGGTATTGTGTCTTATTGGCAAGAAAGCTGACTAATACAACAGAGCTGCAAGACTGTACAGTTACAAAATAACTTGTGGAGCTTGAGGAATATGAAGATTTCCTCTAGAAATTTTTAAATTGTCAAAAACAATCCCTGTACTAGAATTTAACTATTTTTGCAGATTAACATCCACTAAACCTTTATTCATTTATTTTTTTACCTATTCCACTCAAAACTCACACTCTAGAGGAATTACTTCTGGTTCTTCTTTAGCACAGTAGAGGAACTATGATCCCTGTACTCTAACCCAAGCCACTTGGGAGGCTGAATGGGGATGGTAAATTTGAGTTCATCTGGGCAATCTGGTCAAACTCTGTCTCAAAATAAAATTTAAATAGGGCTGCAGTTATAGCTCAGTGGTAGGGGGTTAACTTAGTAGATGTAACACTCGGGATTCAGTCCCTAGTAATATCAAAAACAAACAAATCAGACACACATACAAAATGATTACAGTCAAAGAAATGGCAATTCTTAGCACCCTGACTTGATTATTACACACTGCATACATCTAACGAATTACAGTAGTGTACCCTCTTCGTAAGCATTATTTTAATTCTTTTGATCCTAATATTAGAAGTTTAGAGTAGTTTACCATTGGTTCCTCGTACCTAAGCTTATTTTAGTTCATGATCAAATTATCTCTTCAATATTTTACCCAATTATTCATAAATACCCATAAATATTCAACAAAGACTTATTAAGAATAAAAAATATAATTTTTCATAAACATTTAGCAAATACTTATCAAGAAAAAGAGAAATCAAAAAGTATACTAGGCACTGAGAATAAATACCAAAGTGAGAAGAAAAATGAATTCTCTGTTTTAGAATGTACATTTTCAACGGGGGCTAGGGATTTAGCTCAGCGGCACAGCATCTGCCTGGCAAGCACAAGGTCATGAGTTCGGTTCCCGGTACCGGAAAAAAACCAAAAAATAAAAAAAAAATAAAAAATAAAAAAAGAAGGTACATTTTCAACGGAGTAATATCAGAGTGTCTTAAATTCTCTGCTGAAAATAACCAGGACAATGAAATAGTAATTGAAGGAAGAGAGTTCTACATAAGTGTTTAATCCTGGAAGGCTTCCTTAAAGACACTGAAAGACTGAGAAATAGTAGGCAGCTGAAAAGCCAGGGAAAGAGATTCAGACAGCAAGAGCCAGTACAATGGCCTTGATGTCTGGTTATATGTGCAACCATTTTGAAGATGACATTGTGTAGTATAACAACCATTGTTAATATCCTATCACCATGTTTTGAAATTCTGTAGCATTTTTATTGCTCTCTATGCTGTTTTATTTATGTATTTGTTTTTGTTAGGTTGGTTTTTTTAAAAAAATGAAAAAATTTATATGTATATATAAGGATAGGTGTCTTGCTGATATCTGTAGTTTATCGAGAGGAACAATCAATGCTTAAACTTCTTTTTCTTTACAAAATTTTTTTTTTTGCTTGACCAATTTTACATGCTTGAATTTGGTAATTAGAATGACTGATCTGAAAACAATATGAAGTATAAGAACCATTGTTGAACTCCTGCCATTTTGTATGGTGAAGTTCTGCATCATTTCCAATGTTTTTTAAAAGTGTTTTTTTTTTTTTTTTTTTTACTTGTTACTGTCTTTGTTTGATCAATCTTACTTTCTTACTTCTAACAGGGTGAGCAACTTCGTTGAAGGTAACAGTATGTAATAAAGCAACCACTGTAAATTTTTATTATTTTGTCTTGAGGTCATGTATCATTTTTGTGTTTTTGTGTTGTTTTGATTTGTCTTCATGGTTTTTTCTTTTAGTTTTTAATTTTTAAAATAAACAAAAGAACTCAAGGAAGGCAGGGAGTGGTATAAAATGATGAGAAAGTAGGCAGTATTCTATAGCAAGGTGTTTTTCCTGATTTCTGATCCTCATACCTGCTCAAGTATTCCTTTTGTTGTCAAACTAACTGTTGAAAACTAAACCAAAACATGAAATTTCTCTGGACAAATAGTGGTGTTATGGCTTTTATCTAGATGTTTGCTGAAGCCTCATGTGGCTATAAGTGGGGAGTTTCAAAAGAGGCCAGATTAGGGTGTATAAATGTGAACTAAGGGTGTGTGGCACTAAATTAGCACACTGATTAGAATCAGCATAGTTCTGGACGGCAATACCCAAAAGCTGGTAGCATGGGTGGGATAAAAGGAAAGGCAGGTTGCCTGCTTGTTGCTGCCCTCCTGCCTGCCCTGCCATGGACTGTTTCTCCTCTGCCATACTACCCTGTCTTGGAGCCAGCTGATGTAAACCTCTGTAAGTTGGGAGCTGAAATAAAACTTTTCTCCTTTAAGTTTAGGTCTCAGGTATTTTGTCTTACCAAAGAGAAAAGTAACTATTCAAATGGTGTAAATATTAACCATCAAATGAGTGAATGGCTGTCCTTGGCTTTTGTATATGTGACTATTTAAATCAGAATTAGATTAGTTCAAAAAGCTAGTAGTAGAATCGTCTAGATCTAGGTTGGAATATTATTGCTTACTAACTAGTTGCAAGATCTTGAAAAAAATTAGTATGACCAGTTTTTTAAATCTTGGTTTTCTCATCTATAAAATAGGGCTTAAACAGGACCTACTATCAAGAGCATAAGAGATAATGCTTTCAAAGCACTTTACCTTCCCTGTTTAGGAAGTTTTGCTGTTATTTCTTTCGGTTGTATGCTTATTCTAAATTCTCTTATTGATACTATGAGGAATACGTCATGAACTTGGGTCTTTCCTGCTTATGATATATCAACAGGATTATCCCCTGAAGAAACAACTCCCAGAACAGAAACAAACAAACAAACAAACAACCCAGAAAATTTAAAGAAAGGGTTCTCTGTACTTTAGGAAAAATAAGATATGGGCTAAAATGTTTATGAACATTGTTTTCCTGAATTACAGGAAGTTCCAGTTTGTCTTTCTGGAATAAGGTGAAAGTAAGTGTATATTTGGATTATTTGTATTTTATAGTATGAAGGGTATCATAATAGCAGTATTAAACATTATGACTTTATAAAAAGAATCGATTTATTAAAATATATATTTGGTGTCAGCAAAGTTGTGTCATTTCCCTCATCTGTTTCTTTCTCTTGCTTCTATTTTTCTTCCTATAATTCCATATAATTTAAGACAACCAAACAAATGCCTCAGTTCTGCAATGGAATCGAAGGCTACCCAGGAGCATGTATATTATTGGTATCCGAGCGTCACCTGGTGGTTGTGCTTTGCAATTACTACAGATCCTCTTGGAAACATCTAAACTAAATCTTACATCTATAAAAGGATTCAAGGCCATACGAGCACTGACATTTTATAATTGAATACTTCATGAGATATTAAGATAAAATTATGTCATAAGACTATATTCGCAATTGAATCAAAGCTAGACTCATGTTCCATCATTAGTACTGCTGAACACAAGAGAATCTTTTTGTCTGTTGAAAATTTAACAGAGCTGCAGCCTGGGAGATGCAGAAGCGTTATGTTCTCTGTCGTTAACATCATGCAGGTGACGTCTAGTCTAATTTAGAAACAAGATTTGTACACTGAAAACTCTATGAAATGGCGCGGAGTTATTATTATATTCATGAGGACAAACGAACACCATTGAGAACATTTATTATTTTTGTCATCCTATTCATAATCATGGAGGAAGCACTCCCTGAGCAGAAGTGTTTTTTTAAAAAAAATTCCTAGAAAACTCTACCTCTCCGGTTCAGTTTCACAGAATATCCCTCAAAATTAAAAATCAGGTTAACTGACAAGGAAAAACTGGGACTGTTCCTGAGGATTAATGTTAATACGCTAAGAGGTTGCACGGTTCTCTAAATGCTGGTTCTCCCCTATCCCTGCTGACCCTGAGCGTGCTGAACTGGACAGGCAAGCGCACTGAATCACCTGAGGAGACAGACTCCGTGATGTTCAGGTTGTTGAGGGAAAGCCCCAGGGACTGCCGGGAGGAGGAGGAGGATGTGCTGCTGGCGGACTCTGACGGAGGCCGAGTAGGCTTAGCAGTGTTTCCAGTTTCCGCCTTTAGCCGGTCATTTTCAGCCTTCAGGATTTCAATTTCATTCTGTTATGGGATGGAAAACATGGGGAAAAGGTTGGCCTGGTTTCAGAAAATGCCACCAAAGTCTGTGTCAGAGTTAATTAATTTTCTGTTAAATAAAGCACGTGGTAGGATGCTAAATAAACAAATCATAGAAACATACTTTCCTTCTACAGAAGGAAAGGTAAGCCCTTCTGTCTCTCATATTTGTGTGCTCCTGCATTCACAAATATAGACATAATTATTATTAGTGATAAGATTTTTTGCGGTGCTGGGAATAGAACCCAAGGCCTCACTTGTGCTGGGCAATGCTCTACACTGAGCTGTACTCCCAGCCTTATTTTTTACAACTATCATATATTTCAGAAGTTTTCAGGACTTGGTTTCATTTGAATTAAAATAATATAACTGTAGAGTTCCTAGCACTTTCATTTTAAAGTGATATTAAAATCTCATTGGCAAATAATGTCACCTGTAATTCTGTGAATTCATGGAGAGTAGGAAATAGAGCAACACAAAAATAATATCAGTAAAGTGCTTTAAAATTACCTCAGCATCCTAGCTAACACATGGAAAAGCTTTTGTTTTATCAAAACGGGACACTCAGCTTATAAAACAACAAAAATCTTTTCATGAATATATACAGTGGCAGCTGAAATCAGCAATGAACTTTTCTTATTTCAGTTGTCTGTGGAGCTGAGTGATTACGGGTTCACAATAATAAAATGAAAACTTAGTCTGAACACAGACTGGTTTTGAATGTAGCCTTTAGATGCTTCCAAAAACACAGAAGCTTTACTTTTACAGATGGCATTCTAAATCACTTTTACTTCCATGTTCAGAAAGCTTGTGCTGAATTTCTCTAGATTCCTCATTATTTTCAATTTGCAAGAGAAAATAGATAAAGATATTTGAAAGTCAGATTTAACAAGAACATATTTTTAAAAAGCCAACATAAAAGCAATTCATTGAAAAGTGAAGAGGAAGAATTATAGTTGCTTCTGTTAAACTAGCTTGCAGTCTGAACCTAAACACTAGCCCAAGCATCGGGAATGGTCCTTGATTTGAGTACAACTGGCCACTTCCACTTCCAATCTGGATTTGAGAAAATTCCTCATTTGGTGTTAAGAACTAAGTTGCAAAGATCAGAAGAACAAAGTGCATTTCCATGGTGGATCTGAAGTGGAATTAACTGTCTGCAACTCAGAAAATGCCACTTTTTTATCTCTCCAACTGTTCCCTGTAGGTGCTTCAGCACTGACCTGCATCCGGTTCATGGCTTCCCGTATCTGATCCAGGTGATGAGCAGAGCTGAGCGCCTCCAGCCGAATATCTGTTAATTTTAATTCCTTTTCTCGGAGCTCACTTTTCAGCTGCAGAATTATCTCTGCCTCAGCCTCTGTGCATTCACAGATCCTGAAGAAAAAAACACCCACAAAATTGGTGGTCTATTGGAAAGATGGTGGATTAGAAAAGCTTTTCCTAAAGGCTGAACTGAAATACTATCCAGCAGGTACAAAAATTATTTACTGCTGGCAAAACCTAGAGAAAAACAGAAAGTTTTAGCAACAGTAATACAGGTTCAAAACAGAAAGTAGCTGCCCTTTTCTTTTAATCTTCCCTTCCTATATTCTGAGGTTTAAAAACAATCTATTTTTATGAAATACAGTATAAAGTGATCTAAATTCCTAGGTTTCTGATATTTACAGAGCAGTGGAATCACAGTAGTACTACAGTTCATTTCATATTTCTTGAGGAACTTAAACATCCATTTGCAATCTGTGAAATAGTCTGTTTTTAAAAACCACCATATTACACATTCAAAATGTCAATTTCTTCTATTGTAAAACTCTTCAAACAATAACCTCATTGGCCTCAACACTATCTTTCAGTTAGTTACCATGAAAATTAAATACAAATATTATAGAAAATAATTAGAGAGATTAGTTTTACACATTTAAACGATGGATGAGTGTTATATAAGCTTCTTGTTAGCTCAGCTGATTTAGATCACAGCCAAAGAGGCTAAGACACAGACTCCAGCCCACACTCTGAAGCTGACTGGGGACTGCTGGAAGGTCCTGTCTATTACAGCTTCATTGCTTTGTTTCCTTGCATAGTGGACAGCTTTGTAAATCTCTACCAAAATAATTTGTCTCATATGAATTAGTAGCTTTTCCATTTAAAATTTAAGAACTAAGTTTTTGATCACAAATATAAATAACTTGTGTCTGTCTATGTAGGCAATGAGATTATGTACCCATAGTTGTTGTTTCTTTTGTTTTGGTTTTGTCTTTTTGAGACAGGGTTTCACTCTGCAATTCAGGCTGGCTTAAACTCACTTTGCAGCCCAGGCTGGCCTCGAACTCACAGCAGTTTTCCTGATTCAGCCGCCCAAGTGCTGGGATTACAGACGTGCGCCACCATATACAGCCACTCAATTTGTTCTATAACAGTCATTGTCATGGTTACACAGGAAAATCTGATTGAAGTACTATGTACAAGAAAGAGAACCATCTCATCAAAGTATGTTCCTGTATCCTTAATGCTGTGGTTTTTGTGATACCAAATACTGGGGTACAACAGAAATGTCAGGTTAGATTGTCTAATAGAATCAAAGAAAACTGAATTACAGGTTGTTCTGAAGAAACTAAATTTTAGTTGAAAAATACACAGAGGAGGAATTTGTGGTAAAAATGCATGCAAGTGATTTACAAAAAGCAAAAGCTATCAGTGCTAGGTTAGAACCTGGTTCTTTGCAGCTTTCATGCATCACACCGTTTTACCGGGATCTATGCTTGTAGATCACAGGGCCATTTTGCCGTTTCTTTGGAGGCCAAACAAGGGCTGACCTGCATGTACGCACAGTTAGACACATGGAGAAATGAATGTGAAAAGAACAGTCACGATTTAGAGTAGAGCAGAATGACAGCAAGAAACATTTGACTCTAGTAAGAGAAATAAAAATGAAACAAATACTGCCCATGACTCTCAGTCAGATTTGAAAGTGATTGGTATGATAAAAGTATAGTCTCTTGCATGGAGAACACAAATATGGGCTTGGCCTGAAGCTGTTTGTAAAAACTACGTCAGTATTTGGCAAAGAGGGTGACTTACGCCGAGGCAGAATGAGACGGCTTGAGAGAGGTTGAACCACAGTCACCAGCGTTATGGGGCAGCTTAGGGGAGGCAGGCAGGGATGAATCAGTGAGCTCTTCGATGTCGGAATGTGAGGAGGGAGGCTTGGTGGACTTTTTCTTTCCAAAGGCTTGTTTGAAAGAGCTTCTTAGCTGGAAGAAGGACAGAAATTACCTTTCTTGTCTATTTGCACTTTTGGGGGGCTTTTGCTTTGGGGCGTTAGTTTGCAGATGCCATCCTAGCTACTGCCTGGGGTCAGTATATATAAGCAATATTAACAGTTGCAGCACAGTATCTCTTTTAAAAAGACATTGCATTTTGTGTTTTCCTTTTATTCTCGTATTAATGCAGCGCAGCGCAAACATGGAAGGCTTTGAAACAGTGCAAGGTCAAGGGCATGGCTGTCAGAGCACTCATTTAAAACTAAGTACCTTGAAGGGATCTTCATTCCCAATGCTTCTCTCTTCAAGGCAATTTGTTTTAAATGGCTACTTTAGCGCTACAATCAAGTCATGTCCTGCTGACAGTACAAACTTCAAAAGCAAAATGAAATCAAATTCACCTAACACTTCATTAATTGTGATATTCTATTCAAATTTTCAATTCCCAGACTATTCAAGACCAGAATTGGTATCCCCTGCAGCTCTATTCAGAAAGTGGTTTTGCTTCTCTTTCAAATTTGAGATTAAAATGAAAAGACACAAAGAAAAGACATACAAGGTAATCTGTTTTTAAAAGGTATAAAAGCCTACTGCCAAAATGAATAGCATTCATGCCAAGGTAGGGTTTTTGTACAGATGCATGCCAAATTGTCCACGGTTTATATTCACCTCACTTCCTCTAGAGTTCACCTTGCAGAAACATGAAAGAGTGTGGAATTACAAATCAAGGGAATGAAGGCTGATCAGTATTTTAAAATATTACCTGCACAAACATCTTATTTTTAAACAAAAAAATTTTTTTTTCATTATTTACCAAAATCACTCTGGTAAAATGTCCTCTGGTAGTTATATTTTGAGTTTCATCAAGAGTTGTGTTTTATTTAGAAATCTTTCTTTGTCTCATGGTATTAAAAGAAATCCTTCATTGTTTTAAAACTATCTGCAGTGATAGTGTTTTCCCATCAGTTTTAAAGCAATTGCTTAATACTATTATATATTATGAAAAAAATAAATTATGACGAAAATATCTCAAACTTAAACATGTTTTTTTTTAAAGTTTCTGTAGTTTTTCCATGTTCTCTTGGCAAACAAAACAAAACAAACAAACAAACAACTAAAACAAAAACAAGCAGACACTAATGCAGTTGACTTCCTCTTCCTTTTCTTTGTTCTATAACGTTTTATTCATTCTGTTGGCTCTGCTGATCCCAAGGATGAGGTTGCTCTCAAGGTCTCCTCTCTCCCTTTATCAGCTCTAGCCTCTTTTTTCTTAATATCATCATCACCACCACCACAACTGCCATCCCCTCCGTGACTATGATCATGATCATCATGTGTCATCTTTGCCCTCACCACTCTGACAATAAACACCTGACAAATTAGTCCCAATTTCCAGAGTGCCCACTCTTCATCGCTCTGCCCTCTTAATCTGACTGACAAGTGTAGCATTGGGGGTGCCAGTCTCTTGAATGAGATTCTGAAATCTTCCATAGATTTCTACAGCCATGAAGAGAGACAACTAGGTCATTATGCAATGGTAAGCCATCAGAGTTAGATAGAGATGAGAGCTTACCCAGTTTTTCTTTTTCTTCTTCTTGGAGTCAGCATCGTTACCACTGCCAATACTGGAATGGCTGGTGGCACTGTTGATACTAGAAACACTTTCAGAGGAATGCTGTCTTCTGATGCGAAGATCTACAAACAGAGAGTACCACATGCAATCAGAGTCTCAGTCTGAAAGGACAAATCCTTGAGGCTTTCTGAAGTTCTCTAATAAAGTACAACGAGGTTTGTACAGATCATTTCAGTGCAGTTTTGGTTTTATAAATTTAATAATGTGTAACCATATTTGCTTTAATTAACTGAGTTATCTACATTAAGGTTCAATGGGAATCTCATGAGTCTGTAGCATGGGTGATTTAATGAGTTCTGAGTTTTATCCAAAAATGAAATGTTGTGCTAGTGATTTCTACTGAATACCTGGATCAAACAACAATTCCGAAATGATTTATTCCAAATGACTAGTTCCATGGAGTAAATGGAAATTCATAATAGGATGAGAAGTAATTCTGCCTTTTTAATATTTGTGCTTTGAATAAAGTTATCAAAGCCAAATATATTAACTTTCCATCCATTGAACTATACCATGTTGGATCCAAAACATAGGCATATTATCTCACGGATGAAGAAATTCAAGGGCAAAAAAATTAAGTGACTTGACCAAGGTCAGAGAGGCAATGAGAAGATCTTCCAACGACAGTCTAGGCAGGCTGAATTTGTGAATTAAATAGAGAACCTCTTTAAGACAATGCCTGGTGTCTGTGCATGATTTAGAATACCAACATGAACAACAATGCTTAGTATGTTGCAAACTCCTTAATTTTACTGTTAAACAATTGAAACAAATTTAACTACTAAATATAATTTTCATATGGTCATATAATGGAAAAATAGTGGAGTCACACTCACAGCTAGACTGATTCTAATATCTAGCATGCTAGTGCTACCATAGTTGTACAAGATATTTTGAAGAGAATGGTGTCTGATATTTAATCATTTTAAAAGTACAATTTATCCCATAGAATTAGCTTATAAGACTCATTCATAGCCATTAAAATTAAAATTGAAATTGAAATTTTATCTACTTTCATTAAACTGATATTAAGTGTTAGTGAGACACTTACAGAATTTATAAGGCCACATGTGCTTTCAGGACTTTCTGATTAATATATTTAATTAGCATCAGTGCATATTAACCAAGCAAAAATCCTCTGTGGAGCTCGTAGGATGTCAAAAAAAATACTATAAAATAAATTCTCAACTATTTTCCATAGAGATAATTATTTAAAATTAAGTCTGTCCAGTTGAGCAATTTTTGGAATAGTAAAAATGAGCCATGGCAATAGGCTCTAACTGGTTTCTTTATGTGTAAAAATTAGGATATATGTATAAGTGTATATACAGATATGTACATATATGTGCATATATGCATATACATATATATTCACACTCATACACATACATATCAATACATATCTTTACTTTCCCATTAAGGAAATCATGCAAATTCTATAGGAGGGAAAACATACTTATTTTTCAAATTCCCTAGCGTTTGATCACTTAGAATTATTTTAGAAAATAATGATATAAAATATAAAATAAAATATCCCTTGATCATTATTTAGAATATAATGATAAAAAATATAAAATAAAATATCCATTGATCATTTAGTAGGGAAGTCATACAAATAAATAACAGAATATGTGCAGATATTTTTTCATGTTTTAAATTTCTTTTATGCTTATGTTTATCTTTTATATTTTTATGGTTTAATATTTTCTGTTTTAACTTTAGAATAAATTTATTCTAATTATTCATTTATTAAATTTATCTGTCATTCTTCTTAACAAATATTTACTATGAATAGCAATTTAATACATGTTGCTGAACTGTCCTCAGTAACTGTTAAAGAAAAACCCTTCCATGTTTACACAGAAGTAATGACTTTAAAACAATGGTATATTGAGAAAAAATAAAAATGTCATATTCTTAACTTTCAGCCTCATAGTAATTATGTTTGCTATAATTTTATGTGCCTTTCATTGCCTTGAATTGTGAATCTTTTGGGTGCAGAGTTACTCACTTGTCTCTTTTTAGGATAACAGTGTCAAGCATACAGCAGATACCTAAATATGCTTTTAAATGAATAGATACTATTTTATTCTAGTCTGTATATATCAGACCTTGCTAATAAATGTGATACATAAGTTTAGAGAAAACAGAATGGTAAAGTAATAAATTTGTATATGATTTAGTCATCCTTGGACCTGTTTATAGAAGTGTTGCCGCATTCCAAATACTTATCTTAAAATCATACTTAAGAAACTTATATAAGAAAAATATTTTAAAGTCTCATTCACTGAATTCCAAGTATCATTTAAGAATATAAATTTAGAGGCTATCCAATCACCTAAATAACTCCATAGAAAGATATGTAATTAGTCCAACTAGTCCAAGATACCTAATTAGTCCAATAACACATGCTTAGTCCACGTAGTATTAATGATCAATGTGATGAAAATAACTTTCAGTTCACTGAATTTAATATTAATTAGCATCTCTTCAGAAATACCATCTAAATATACTGTACATATTGAACCCTTTATAAGTATCTATTTTTTAGTTTTAAAATAGACAAAGTTACTTTTTAACATTTCTTGACAATATTCAACATAATTTATTGTTTTTTTCACTTAGGCACTACCCCTCCCATGTTTCTGAGTAAAGGAATTCCTAGCTTTTAATTCTAGCAGATATAGTTTGCTACCTGTTGCCGAAAAGAAAAGGAAACTTCCAGAAAGTCTTGCTTCAGTGACTTGTGCTGTATTAAATAGGGGATTAAGCCTTTTTAAATCCCTTCTGGACCTATTTACGACATGAAGATTTAGAACATAAGCTGCTTTATTATGGCTCTAAGATAAGCTTTAAATACACAGTAATTTTCCATGTAGCACATAAATCAACGCCCCCACATGGAAATTTCCTAAGTTCTTAAGAAAAGTAGCCCACAGAAAACTACTTTGTCTTTTAACTTCAGTATACCTCATATCAAATGATTGTTTTCCTAACATGTACATTCAGCTATGCTTTGTAAAATTATGTTATTTTCTTCTGTAAAATGTAAGACCCTTTTATGTGCAAGTCTTCATCATAGGCACAAGGATGAAAAAATAAGCCCTTTTACTACAAATCAGGAAAGACAGACCTTAAAGTCACTGAACTATAGTGTACATTTTAAAAAGGAAGTATAGCTTTTAGGTATTCTCATCTAGTTTAGGGGGAAGGCATATTTAATTCCTGCCATTTCCCAAGACTACTGTATGTTGAATTAACAGGGTACAAATTTCCAAGGAGAATGAACAGGCTGCGTTAAGAACATAAATATATAAACACTTAAAATTAGTATACCTGAAATTTGGAATCTAGAGTGCAGCAAAAGAGTGAGAGAGGAAGTCAAGAACAACATCTTGCATATAATTAGCAATCAGTAAATATTTTTGGAATAAATAAAGCTGGCCATGAAAGGTTAAGTCATGTTAAAGAGTTTGAATCTGAACTGAAAGACAATGGGATACCTGTAGACATCTGTTTTTAGATGATTGCTCTGGCTTTGCTGTGAAGAATAGTTGAAAGTAGGTAAAATTAAGAGCAGGAAGCATATCAGATGCAGTTTCCATAACTAACATGATGAGAATTTTAAGAGTTTCATTAATTAACTGTCATATAAGTCACTCCTGATCTTGGAATGAACAGTTGTGGTTTACTAGGAAATGGAAGCAGCAATCTAGTGGTCTAAAGAGTGATTGGTTTCAATTCCCAAGATGAATGTAATTATTATGTAGCAAAAGCATACAATGACAAAAAAATGAAGAACACTGATGGAAGACACTGATATTCCAGAGGTTTTTTGTGTCTCTGACAGAACGCACAAGATTTAGGAAAATAATTTTAAACTGGGAAACAGTCAAGCATATTTAATGTTATTGAAAAGAGCCAAGACATGAATAAGAAGAATCTACGTAACGAAAAAAAAAATGACATGAGAATAATGAGCACTTCTTCAGTGGAGAAGCAAGTGGTAAGGATGGTGTGCAAATATTTTTACTATTGAAAATTGCAAAACATGCTAATGCAAAACAGGTTACATGTTAGTCTGTCTTCTTTCTTTTAAATTACCTGTAAGAAATTATCTTTGTATTGCCCACACCCAGGAGAAATTAATTCCCATGTTCACTTGTTGGTATATTTGCATATCAACTTTTCAATTTTATGTACAGCTCTGGATTACCATAACTATGACTGGCCTTGATTTGCTGGATGTCAGAAAACACGTATTAATAAATCAACTCTCCTACATCCATGGAGAGGAATGTGTGTAAGACTATATAAATGAATTCATTCAGGTTGACTTAAAAATTATTTGATAATCAAGGCTATTATTCTCAAAGTTAGACTTCTGATCATATGAGTTCCATCTTGCTAATTTTAAAAGGTAATGCCACTGAGTAGTGTAGCTTTCCTCTAACCAGTAAATAATAATTAGCAAAAAAAGATGCTTATTCTAGTGGATAGAAATGGCAATATTTCTAAGTATACCTTTGGGAGGATGGTCCGGACCATTCAGCGCCCCCTGAATAGCCGCCTGGGCAGCAGAATTCTGGGCCTTCAGCATTTCAATGGTTTCTCTTAGCTCTATAAGTTCTGACTCCTGTGGAATAAACAGTTTGAAAGATTTAATAGCTGGAGAGAAAAATAAAATGGCCTTGTTCAAAATTCATTACAAAATGGGTTTGATTTTACTTTGTACCAACCTCCTGGGAGATTTGGATGCTTGGCTGACCTTGTTATATTTTACCTGGCAGCTTCTTTCTTAACTAAACAAAAATTTTAAAAGTTGTTTCTCTCAGTTGTAGCCCTATAACAGTGTTTCAGTCTTTAGTCCTTTTAAAGGGTGACATCGAAGCTGACCAACAGAAAGGAAAACAAGATACCACATCGTTCATTTTATTTTATTTTATTTTATTTATTTTGTTTTTTGTTGTTGTTTTTTCTCCGGTACTGGGAACCGAACTCACCACCTTGCGCTTGCCAGGCAGGCGCTTTTGCCGCTGAGCTAAATCCCCAGCCCCCACATTGTTCATTTTAGTTACCAAACTTGTAATATCATCTATGATTACATTTGTTATTTAGATATTGGTATCACACTGTTGCATTTTATTGTATTTACTGTCAACTGGAAACTGTGAGTTCTTGTCAAATGATTGATTTTTAGATTTTGTATAAAGTATTTTGCACTTGGTAATTGATTCCTTGTATACAAGTATATAACCTGAAGCTCATCCCTAATTCACTTCTATTAAATGTCATTTTATTAGGGGCTGGGGATTTAGCTCAGCGGCACAGCGCCTGACTGGCAGGCGCAAGGTGGTGAGTTCAATTCCCGGTACCGGAAAACAACAACAAAAAAATGTCATTTTATTAAATTCTCTTGGCATATCAGGACTGTTTTAGATCCTGAAAATGCATCCACTATAATTCCTAGTATGGAGACCCAGGTTCAATAAACCAAAGCAATGGGGAAATCACTTAGAAAGTAATATATGTGATACACAATTCTTGAACAACAAATTACCGAAAATAGCTTATAAATCAATTTTTTATAAAACATGTTTTCTTATTGACCTTAGGATAATTTAAAGTTATATCCTAATACAAACCACTATTTCAATTTATCTTTAACAGTTATTTAAGTGAATTGTTTGATTAGAAATTATTTATTATGAGGAAGGTAAGATAGCTGGGGCAAAAAAAAGGAAAAGAACTGTGTGTTGGCAGCAGGGAAAACATTTCCATCAAGGGGCTGGGGATTTAGCTCAGCAGCAAAGCACCTGCCTGGCAAGCGCAAGGTCGTGAGTTCCCGGTACTGGAGAAAAACCAAAACCAAAACAAAAAAAAAGACATTTCCATCAGAGGCTCAAAAACAAGGGGTATCTTTCTTGATGGTAATGCAATCTTAAATATTAGATCATTCTCAGTCTCTTAGAGGGAGAATTTCTTAGTAGTGTGCTTGTCACTCATAATGTTCTGTAGCATCTCTAGCATAAAGTCAGCCAAGCTTGGACTCCTCAACCTCTGGTGAATAGTTTATCTGTATTTAACATATCCCAGAATATAGGAAAAAAGATAAAGATTTTCTTTGGATGAAATTTCTTAACACATGGGAACGTTCAGTGATTTCTAATCTTGGATACTTAATAAAAGATACACAATGCTAACTGAAATCATACACAAGGTTGGGATATTTTTATTGGATAATTGTATCCTTGACAGAGAACAGCTAGATTAAAAATAAAAAACAACAAATTCTTTTTATAGACTTGTAATACCTTGTAAACCAGAGAACTTTATATTGAGAAATCAATAGTAACCTCTTGAATTCATACGTAGGTCCTCAAATACTTGACTATAATCCATTCGCACTTACTTGACATAATGCAAAAACCTGATATTTATGGAAAACTTTCCAACCCAATTCATTATATTTCTGTCTTTCTGACTTCTATATTTTGGCCCTTGCCTAATGAACAATAGGTAAGTTGATCAAATGTGAATATATTACACACTTAAAATTAATTCCCCAAGAGGTAAATATTTACTGGGAATTCATGCTGTTGTTACTGAAATTCATTCAGGAAGAACACCTATGGTGCATAATTAATGAATCAGACAATTTGAATATTAATTTTATAATATAAATACTAGGTTGCATGGTGAGTTTTAATTAAAATAGGATTTTCAACCATGAATTTAAGATCAATGATGCTCATAATGTAGATGAAGAGCTGCTAACATAATTGGTTGTAGCTTTAAAGGAACAAAACAGGAGGGGGCTGGGGATTTAGCTCAGCGGCAAAAGCGCCTGCTTCGCAAGCGCAAGGTCGTGAGTTCGGTTCCCGGTACGGAAGAAAAACCAAAAAAAAAAAAAAAAAAAAGAAGGAACAAAACGGGAATGAGATCTTATGCAAATGCCTAAAATTTGAACTTAATTTTGAACCAGTTGATTTATTTCAGTGTAATCTTTACACTGTAATCTTTTCTAGAGAAACTTCTTCTTGAAACTGTTTTTTAAATGATTAAAAGTGAAATGTTCAGGGAATTTTTTAGAATATTATGTTTAATATATAATAGAAGCATAATCACTAACTAAAATTAAAGATCTCTTTGAAAACAAGAGAGATTAGCAGGTTAGTTTTTACTTAGTGTGGATCAGCAAGCCCATGAAATTCTATGGGCTCTCTAACTTGGAAAAAAATTGCCTCTGTAAAAAACTTAGTGAACTTTATAACTATAAGCAAGTACCTATAATCCTAATTAAAAACAAAACTAAATTTTACATTGATTAACATAATCCATTGAAATCTGCATTAGTTTACCCCGTATCTGCAAAAAATCCCTCCCTTATTATTTCGGTTAATGAGATTCACTTTCATCTTGTTATTCAAACTACAACTGTCTGTTTCCTTTGAGCTTTTGCATACTCTTTGCTTTACATGTCCTTCCTATCCTTCACAGATGACTCCAAATAGTTCCGTACTTGTGAAACCTCTGTTTTCCTGTCAGGAAAATAATCAAGGTCCCCTCTATGTGTGCTCAGACCCACCATATATTTGTTTTATTTAATTGTTTGAGAATATTATTTTTCATATGATTTATGACCTCACCAAATGATGGAATAATTTTTGTTGAAATGTTCTGGTCTATGTTCTGCAGCTCTATTTCTCCATTAAAGAATAATATGAAACTTCAACTTCACTGCATAATATTTTGTTATTTATAAGAGTGGTCACAAGGGAGGATAGTGCCATAGGAAAACACTGAAACCTTTGTTACTTATTGAAAACAAGAAGTCTCAGTGTGGTTATGTAAGCAGGAAGTTTGGATGGCAGTAATGTCAGGTTTGCTTTGCTTTCTTTCCCAATATTACTAGAGATGAGCATAAAGCTTTTTAAATAAAAATAAGAATGTGATGTAGATACTCGTTTCTCAGTAGTCTTCTGATCTTCATTTTTTTTCTGTTTCATAACTATCACTAACTGTTCACATTTAGTTTTTAAACTGTGTTTCTTCAAAGCTTTCTATCCTTCATGGAAATTATACTGTTACTTCCAAACACAGTTATGCATTTTTCTGGTCTCTGGTGGGGAGTTTGTACATGGACTATTATTGGATATGAGTTCTAGAGATAACTTACTAAAAAATCCTCAGATTATCTGAAATCTTTTCATATGATCTCTTTTGAAAGCAACCAAGAAAAGCATTTAAGTTTTGAGAATCACTATTAAACCTTCAGAGAAAATTTTAGGAAATATATGTCATCAAAATACGAATTTATGCTTTTTCCTTCTCCAGTTTAGTAGGTTCTAATTTCCTACAATCATCATTACATACCAAAGGAAAACTGGGGCTAGGGTAATTCTGCAAAAAATTTTGGAAATAACATGATCAGACATTATTTTCATGATACTTCTTGCCTGCCTCCCATGAGCCATTCATGGTAATGATGACCATGAATGGCCAACACCAGTTGACCATTTAAGATTCCACCTTTACATTAAATTTTTTTGTATAAAGGATCCAGTCTAAATGGAATAAATATCTCCTTGAATAGTTTTTTCCTGTCTCTGAAACTAAATAACTTATGAAGAGCTGGGAGTATAGCTCAGCGGCGCAATGCCTGCCTGGCAATTGCAGGGTTCTGAGTTCAATTCTCGGTACCAAAAAAAAAAAAAAAGAGAATAAATACATAAGTTATGAATATAATCCTGAAATACTTTAAAATGAAATAACCAAATATCATCTCAGAATACAAACCTTAGTTGGTGTTGTTACCAACCTAAGTTTGTAATTATAGCTTACCTATTTTTAAATTTCTCACTGATAAAGGCCTATTTGACAATACCAGAAACTTGGCCAAAATTTTTTTTATTGAACTGGCTTGACATTTTAGGTTAGGCTCTTAAAATTTTCCACAAAATATATTTCACTTCCTCTCACTGATACTGTTAATCTGACTTTATGGAGTTAAGTTTCCTAGATCACATTCCTCTCTTGCTAATTTTTCTACTAAAATCAACTGGCTGGCTGTACTATATTTAGGTTCAGATAAGTAAAGTTCATCAAATCCCAATGGAAAAAAATGTAATTTAAAACTAGGTATTCATACTTTCTTGTTCCTTAAAAAATTAATGTATATATTGTCTGATTTTAGGTGTCTGTTTAAAAAAAACACTTCCAGATGACACATATTTTAAAATAAGAAGCGTTAAAAGCCAAATATATTCTAATTTTCCCTGCATGACAACTATAGAAATCTAATTTGAATGTCTTCTGAATTTTAAATTCCTAAATGAGTATAATCTTGGTAAATTTGAAAGTGAGAATTTAGCAGTAGTTCTGTAAAAACTTCACCCATAGAATGTATTTGCAGAATTCTTGCCATTGAAATGATCTGTATGACAGTCTTTCTCAACTGGCATTTTGTGAGGAAATTAAACCCTACACATAGGGCTCTGAGTTGACATCTCCCTTAATTTTCCTCCTTGCTGCTTGTGCTCAGGCTGTGCCTTTCTCTACAAAATAAATTCCTGTATTTCCTCTGAATTAATTCTCTTCATCCTCCCCAAGCCACAAAGCTCCTTTCTGCTTTCTCTACTCTGTAACTAGCATGAAGACACACTGTTCCCGTTGAGAAGCTCATGACATTGTATCGTCATATTTCTTTTTTTTTGGTTGGTTTTTCTCCAGTACCGGGAACCGAACTCACGATCTTGCACTTGCCAGGCAGGCGCTTTGCCGCTGAGCTAAATCCCCAGCCCCTTGTATCGTCATATTTCTAATGGTAAAATAATTTTGTCAGGTGAGTCATTCATGCATATCTTTTCTTTAAAATTTTGTAAGTCTATAACAGCAGAATTCTGGCATATAAATTTGGGAATGGAATCAGTGCTATTTGGCAACTGGAAATAAGGAAAATTGTTAGAACACTACTCAAGGAAGAGATTTTGTTGTCTACATCAAATTAAAATTTGGGCATAATTACCCAAAATTTGGGTAATTTGGGCATAGACCCTTAATGCCACATGATGACCGAAAGTCAGTCTTTGAAGCCAGCAGACTGAGACTGGACTGGTAGTTTAGTTATCTATTTCACATGCATGTAAGCAAGCACTCTTAGCCACCTTGGTCTTTGTTGGTTCATGTGTTGGGTTTTCACCCAATTTCCCAACAAAATCATTCTCAGTTTTGCTTTTTTTCAGTGGTGTTTATCATCATGTGAAATACAATATCTTCAATCTATTTTTATTAGCACCTGTTCTCTAATTGAATTTAAATCCCATGTAGAATATATATATCTATATAACAATTCATGTGGAATACCATATACATAAATGAATATTTTTATATATGAATATTTTCATATATAAGAACCACAAAATTCATGAGGAATACTATATGTATATATAATATATAATGCCATATATATGTTATGGGGAATATATTATCATATTTCTCACAGTTTATGTTCTAGCAGATATCTACATAGATACAGGTAGAGGTTGGAAAATAAATCCACATTTCATGCACTTATTTTTCAGTCTATAATGTTTTTTTCTTATATAGCAGAAGATCAAATATATTTGATAAATGACCAAATGAGCAAATAAACTATAGAACTCCAGGCACAGAGTTTAAAAACCTCTGCTCTATATTCCTCAGGCTTTTTCAAAGGATTGCTGGATCACCCAAGAATAATATACCCTTTTATCTCAGCTTCTGGAAGAAATGCCTTTGCTGAAATATGATTAAATGTTGTGCCCTCAGCTTTTAGAGAAATTTCTACCTGAGCAGTGAATTTTTCTTTTCTTATTCCCTGACCCTAGTTTAAGAACGTCTGCAATACATTTGTCCTTGAATTTCAGGCCCAAAAGTTTGTCTCTTCCATCTAAATTATACTCTTTAGGTTAGAAAATGAGAACAAAAGACAATAAGAAATCTCTGTTTGTGCCTTAGTATTCCTAATGTTCGGCTCAGCTCACTGCTTTGTGATAGTAATTATCTAGGCTCAGGTATTTTATTATATACATTGTATACTCTTTTTTATTAGATTCTGCCACTGAATCATACCATAATAAATTGCAATTAATTTTTTCATCTACTGTTTTTCTGTTAAATTCTGTCTCTGAATTATGCCATAATATATTGCAAATAAGTTTTTGATCTACTGTTTTTTGTAAGATTGTCACTGAATTATGCTATAAAATATTGGAATTAATTTTATCAGCTTCTCAAAACCACTTTGGAAAAAGTAAACTTATCAATCTTAGATTAATAAATTAGGTACCAATATTAGTGTGTACATATAGTTTGCAAGTAGAATGATTTTATTTTTGGTTAAAAAATAACAAAGGCAATTTGAGACATCAAACCATCTTTTAGGAAAATTTCACAGTTTTGGCAATGCTACTTTAAAGTTACATGAACATAAAATAACGGCATGCAGTTATAAAATTCTTTGTATTATAGAGGTATTACAAATATTAAGGTATAACTTAGATAAATTAACATACTGGTACTTACAAATGTAAGTAACTTGAAGAGCCTATGGGGGGACAATTTTTTCTATTAATTTTGATCTCTTAAAGATATTACAATTTCATTATTAATCTTTATTTCCAACAATACGCCTTCCACATGCTCAGTGATGATTTGCTTCATCTTATTTCAGGAAAAATGAGAGAAATATAAAGGAAACATTTCTGGATCACACACTGCATGTAACATAATCATGATACCTCACTTGCCATGGTGGGTCTACAGTGTTATTATCATCATATTTTTATAATGATGAATTTGAGTTTAAAAAATGTGAGATACACTTGCTTAAGATTAGATAGCTCTTGAAAAACGCAGTCAGCTTCACATTCAAGTCTATTGTGTTCCAGTAAGTATATTTTTTTTTCCATCTGGCTGCCCTAAAAGGACATGCAATTCTGCTTTTCAGATAATTATCTAAAAGTGTGACATGCTAACCTATACTCCTTCCTGTCCTCAACAAAAGAAAAAACTTATGAGCTCAAAAGGAGTTTTCTAGCCAGACTTCTGAAAAAGGATGAACAGTATTTTTTCATGGGCAGGAGACGTGTATGAAGTAGAAAAAGTCTAAGGCACAATTTGCCAATTATATCTAGCAATTATAAAGATATCACATTTTATCTTTTAATTAGACTGCTAAGGTTTAAGCTTTTATAAACTTACAAAATTTGTACATATGCTGGTTTTATAATGCAAGTGACATTCCTTAGATAAGTTAATGACATAAAAGCCATCACTTGGATATATATATAATCTGTCACTTCCCAAACTTTTTAGACGGTGGCTCTGTTCGGGAACTAGGCTAGTACTATGGACAGCTCCCCATATTATATATGTGTGTAATTTTTATTAAAAAGTTACTATAAGTTTCACAGGCTGCACCTGCCTGAAAATCCAATGAGGACAGTGGGCTGATGGCAAAGAAGACAGTTAATTGGTCATGATAGGGAAAGTGACCAGACTCTTTCTGGGAAGCATGGACCTTCTTATTATAGTTTCCTTTGTGAATGCAATCCTGTCTTTTTTTTTTTTTTTTTTTTTTTTTTTTTTGTGAAGAGGCAGTTCAGGCTGCTACGTTCTCCAGGCTGGTATTTGTCTTTTTGAGACAGGGTCTCCCCACGCAGTTTAGGCTGGTCTTGAGCTCACTTTGTCTCCCAGGTTTGTCTTGAACTCACAATGATCCTCCTGCCTCAGCCTCCTGAGTGGTGGGATTACAGGTGTGCGTCACCACACCTGGCTCTTGCCATCCTGTCTTTTCTTTCGGTACTCTTTATCCACACCATAGGATTCTTAATATTTATATTCAAGTTTTTATATAACAATATTACTTCAAGGGCAGCATTCATAGATGTCAGTTATTTCTTATGACTTCCAAACTGCACAGGACTGGGTCTGTGTCATGGATTTTCTGATGAGAAGTCCGTTACTTGATAGCATAATAACATTTGTTCCAGACATGCTTATTGGATCTTTTAGCCTGTTTCTTACTGGGTGTATAAGTCAGTGAACAAAATGCACTTGTGAACATTTTCATTAGTATAATTCTTGCTGACTGACTAACAATTTGTTATAAAGAATACTGTCTCTTATACAACTGTTTCTGGTTCTTAATGTGATATTCTTTCAATAGTTTCGGTCAAAAGTAAAATAATGACTACAAAGAAAGAACCTTTCATTCACATATGGATTAATCTGATCATGTCTTTAATTTAAAATGTGAAAACAAAAGGCATTACCTTTTTGTTCTAATTTGGTACAGGATGGATGCTTTGCAGTATTACAATTAAGGGGATATATCTTGGGTATTATTTAAATGTCCTATAAAACGTACTCTCTCCTTTTGGCCCTCTGTGGCAGTACTTAAACGTACCTTTTGTTCTGCTGTCATTGTTAGACTTTGCAATCGGCCAGTCATATTTCCTAAACTCTTTTCAAAAGCTGCTACGAGATGAGCCTGTGAAGCAAATGGAAGAAACGCAATTTAAATGTTAGCATCTTCGGTGGATAGATGAAAACCCCTCATTTTACAAAATGCTTAATTCCAGGTATCCTAACTCTGTAAATACTCTGACTGCCCTGGTTAGCTCTCAATGGTGAGTCCCCTTTAACACAAGTCTCCCTTTTTTCTTCTAAACTTTGGCTTCTTAAAGTCAGTGTTTCAGTCGCTTGACATTTAATATTAGTTCAGCTTCCAAAAGGGGATGATATTTTGCAAATAATAACACCTTTTGCCTGTACATCATGCAGGGATTTGACACCCAAAATACAGAATAAAGTTCTGGGCTGCCAAGTTTTGAGAAGAAAGCCCAAAAGGAGGTCAGTGAAATAGTCAATGGACAAATGTTCCTCATTTTTAGACTTGCACGATGACCTTTGAAGATATTGTTAGCTCCTCTATTGTAATGGCGCGCTCCTTCAAGTGTCAGACATCTGCTGACAGCTTTAGCATTATCTTTCTGCCTTCTCTACCTACAAAGAATTGAATGGAAAAAGAGTTGTCCTTACTTTCCAAACTTGTTAATAAAAAGCTTTGCTTCCTACTTTTTTATTTCCTTGAACTAAGGAAGCCTACATAGGCCGGCCAGAGATAATATCGTCATATTTTAGTTAAAATTAAGCTTTCTAGATTTGTGATTTTATTTCACATTTCAAATAACTATAACGTAATACAGAACCATACATCTTATGATTAAAAAGCATTTGATGGTCTTGTTATAGCTCTAAATCAGGCATTAACCACATTTCTACTGACAGCCACGTGCAACAGCTTGAACTAAGAGTAGCAAATGTGAAGAGCTGCTTCCATGTCCAGCCATGATTTGAGGAACAATATCAGCTGTGTTACCTCAAATGGACAGAGCTCTGCTATGCCCTTGAAAGGATCTAAGGATTGACTATTTTAGAGCCAAAATGTATAACAAACTATATATGGACAAAATTTGGTAATCCTTGGCAAAAAAATTGATATTGCTGAGGGAGGGCTATACAAAGACTCCAGTAAGATGTATCCCTGCAGCTGTAGCAGAGCTGAGAGGGTGAGGTATCTATCATTTAAAGAATCTGGAGTCCTCAGAATTAGGACTCTGGAAGTTTAATGCATTATTGATAACAATTAGAATGTAGAAGGCATTTTCATTAGCATCATGACACAAAGGTGTCTCTGTTCTGAGCTCTAAATTCATCTTTCCAAGTATTTCTTTATATGATACTAAAATAAAAAGACAATTTGTAGAGAATACTCTTACTGAAGTGAACTCCAAGTCTTCAGCACCATGTTATAATTTTCTTGTTCTGTTATCCTTACCACCCCATTCCACTCTCCCAACTTCTTCCCTTCTCCTTTCCGTCTCTCTTTCTCTGTCTTTCATCTTCTCTCTCTGTATCTCTCATGCTTCCTGTCTTCCTCCCTCACCCATACACTACATATAACCTTGAGAATTAAACATTAGGATTTATTAACAGATTTAATTAAATAGGCAATACTGTAAAAAAAAAACCGATATCTTATAGTTGAAAATATTTCAATGGCATGGAATGACATTACATCAGTCTTGGTATACTTAGAAATTAGCAAAAGGCTGCATCTTATTTTTGGTTATATTTTAACAATTTTATGATTGTGAAAAACATACTAAAAGTTAGCAAACTAAAATATGCACTTTATTGATTTATCATATAATAAATATTCAAGTACTCATCACCCAAATCAATAAGTAGAGAATTTCTAGACGCTACAAGCCTCCCTCCCCTCTGCCATCATTATCCCTGTCCTTTGACAAAGGCAAGCATGTTTTTAGTATTTATATTAATGATGCTTTTGTTTTCCTTGATAGTTTTATAGTTAAATTTGAATTCCTAATCACTAAATCGTACTATGGCCTTCCAAACTACCCAAGTGTAACTATATAGCACGATTCTTTGGTGATTATTTTCTTTTCCTTAACATTGCCCTCACATTCACCCATGGTATGTAGCAGGAGTTAGTTTTGCCATAAGCCATCCATACATATGAATTTGTAATATTTGTCTATGATGTGCATTTGTAGGGCTTCGCCTTTAGGCTTTTGGAAATAATCCAGGTATGATCATAAAAAGGATACTAAGAGCTGAAATTGTTTATCTTATTTTAAAATAAAGAAATATGCTAAAGAAATTCTAGAAAATTCTAGAGCCTATTATTTATAAATTAAATAGAAGATTCTATTTGATGCTGCAGGGTTTTAATTCTGTAATATTTAAATAAATGACTGTGAATCTTCAAATATGTACACTTTAAAAATATCACACTTTATGCAGTTTATCAATTTTTATTCCATTTTAATAGGAAGTAGGAATATGTCAAATGTCAGGACTATAAACAACATGTGTATAAATTATATAGTTTACATTTTGTAGTTTTATGTAACCTGAAAATAACAAAATATTTACCATTACATTATCAGTTTCTAATCTTTGTAAAAAAATTTCTCTTAACTACTGACTCAAAATTGCTTTCTAAAGAACATTTTGAGTCATGCTGTTTTCAACAAAAAGTATATTAAAGTATCCCTGTCTATCTATCTATCTATCTATCTATCTATCTATCTATCTATCTATCTGACCTGTCTCCTAATAGAGCTGTTCATATATTGAGTAAAACTGAATAAATGAAAGCGAGCTACCTAAGATGATTGTTATATGACATACAAGAGTTTACATTTGATAATTAGTAGTTACATGAAGTCCGAACAATTCTGAAACATGAAGTTTCTTATGTCTTTTACATTGCATCAAATTGTCCCTTCAGTGTTTGTCATTGTTCATGTGTACAAGAGTTTCATGTCAGAAGAAATGCAGAAAAGCAAAAGTAATTGCCAGGTTGCATAAAAATACTAAATAGAACCAAGAAGTAGGACACAATCTTAAAAATATAATACTCCAGAGATTTTTGCTGAAAAGACTTAGTTGCTGAAAGGCAAAACAGTACCTTTTGTTACATATTCATTCAATAACATGTTTGAAAGATGTTAGTAGTAAGTAGCCTTACTTCCCGTATCCATTTACAAAAGCGGAAAGTGAAGAAATGCCCTCCACCTGACTTGGCGTGAAGGTGTGGGTGAGAGGCCTGAGGGACCCTGGCTTCTTGCACTGGTGTCACTATGGGTGTCTGCCATGTAGGGCTTCTGTTTTCTTGCTCTTTGTTGGAGTGGGGTACTGATCCAGGGCAAGTTAGGCAACAAAAGTTGGAGCAATACCATGTCTTTTCTTCTAAGGGCATCCTAGTAGAATCACTCCCTATGACTTTATTCACTTCTTTCCAGAGCAAGTCCACAGGAAGGAGGAAAGGCTTAGGGCATGGTCTACTGGCTGTCTCTTTAGTCCGCCAGTCAAATGAGAAGTGAGCTGATTGAATGTCTTTCTCATCTACCATTGCCCCCTTTTTTGTTGTCTTTTTTTGTTTTTTGCCTTTTTGAGACAGGGTCTTGCTACACAGTTCAGGCTAGACTTGAGCTCACTTTGTAGCCCAGGCTGGTCTCGAACTTGCAACAATCCTCCTGCCTCAGCCTCCCAAGTGCTGGGATTACAGGCATGTGCCACCACGCCCCTCCATTGCCCCTTTTAACAAAGAAAGAAAGAAGCATTTTGTTCAAATTTAAAAATTAAAACACAGGTTAAAGTTCAAATGTACCAAATACAAGGGTCATACCAATGAAAAGTATTTCCAAATTAAGAAACATAATTAAGTCCTAATACTTACTCTTATTTTGAGAAAACTATGAACAGAGATTGAAAACTATTATTAAACTAAAAATAGTTAATACTTTTTCCAAATAAAGTCATTGAAATGTGTCCTTATGTATCATACCTATTACATTTCTCAACAAACCTTACTGTAGAGATCACATATCTAACCAAAATGTAAAATTTATCTGTAGTCTGAACAAATTAATAAACAAAGAGTTGCTTGGCTAGTTCAGGTGCAATGTGAGATTCTTAATAAACAGACTTATCTTTGTCTCCATATAGAAATTATAAATTAAAAAAATATATATATTCTCTGTTTGGAGCATATTATGGTGTTTCAGTTCTTCACGACCTGTGTGAAGATCCCCAGCACCAAGAAAATAAACAAACGAATGAAAGAAGCTTTGCCTTACTATTGAAAAGTCCTGTTCAAAATGATTTGATTCAGTCCCTGTAGTTAACTTACTTTATGTATGTATATAAAAATATTTTCATATATTATGCAGACTACCAGCTATTAATTCAGATGAAAGAAACAAAAACCATTCTGAGTGATATTTACACAGTATTTCTTAGAAGTAAGGAAAAATCCCAGTATTGCCTAACTCCTCTGATGACTTAGTATCCTCTGTGAACTTATAGATCAAATGACAAAATGAATGAATGAGTTAAAGATGATTGAAGGTAATAAAACTATGTGTAGTTTAACATTCTGGAATATTTTATATTTTCTTAACAACACAAACATGAACATAATGATCAGTCCATTGAAGTCATGATGATACTATTAAAATGTTTAAAATAGCAGTGATATCAAAATTGTTTTATAATTACTTATACATGTCCATTTATAAGTGTAATCAATAAATATTTAATCTAAATGCAAATTTCAATCAATTGCTTTGCTGACAAAGTGGAAGACAATGATCATCTTCATTGCCTGAATCTTTTGACTTTCATCTTTTGACATTTTAGGTAAATAAATTTACCTAATGGTAAAAGGCTTTAACCATGTCTATTGCCACCAAAAAAGTGCTATCATTGGTGAATTAAGATTGAAATGCATAGGAAACTGAATGTTAGACACTGATTTTAAAAATGTAAATCTACATTTTAAAATTTGAAATAGTGATGTACTTACAAGTTGCAAAGACAGTACTGACAGGTCCCTGTAGCTTTCATGCAGTTTTTCACAATCTAATCTAATGTATAGGGTCTGACACGGACCCTTCCTTGGTGTAAATTAACAATGTACACTCTGTTTCCAGCATTACACTGTTGTTTCCTCGACAAATTCAGGAACCTTCACAGAAGTGTTTATACTATCATACACATAGCCTGTAATATAAAATTAACCAATGACCCTGGAATTATCTCTTTAAAAATATTCTCGGGAAGAAAATACTTTAATTAATTAACACTATTTTCTTCCACAATTACAAAATAATTCTCTAACACCTGATCTTACTTTTAAAAATCCCCTACAATGTGTGTAAACAAAAATTAAGTCAATCCAAAATTAATATAATTTTCCCAAATTTGAAAGAATAAAATCACTTCAAATACAATGTTAAAATGAGTATGTTGGGACTAACGTGACTTGTTTCCTGTGAATTTTATTTTACAAAATAATTTTTACTCTTAGGATGTCTCATGAAAATCATCCACCGTGTCATGCACCTGTTCACTCTTGGTGTGTCACGCTTGGTCTAGAAACCTGCAGATCTCCACAGAGGAGCAGAGAGATTGGGATGGTAAGGCAGGCTGCAGCCCTGAGCTACACAGAAGAGCAAACTACTGCTGACCAAGGGCTGCAGGATATATGGCAAAATAGCAGGAGCGTCCTTACTCCTCGCTGTTGCTTCTTACATTATTGTTCCTTGGGAACATTATCGTTCCTTGGCATAATGCCATATGCTCTCCTTTATTATTCTGCACCTACTCTGAGAACTCTCCGGCATGCGGAAAGACAGTCAATAAACGTTAATATAATTGATGGTCTTTGTTGACATCATTTCTGTCATTTTAAGCTGCTTTGGTGCCAGTACAAGTGTTTCCATTTTAAACTGCTTTGAGAAACCTGCCAAGGTTTTTTGAGAGAATTGAATCTCATCTACCATGTAGCTTCTCCACCCATACTTTGATCAAAGTTAATTTTTCAGACTGTGTTGTATGCTTAACTAATTGTTCAAACATGGAGTTAATGGAGGCGGGAAACACAAATATTCTCTCTTCCTAAGTCAGACACTATCAACCCTATTATGTTATGGCTTGGGAGAAATTTACGTATGGAGAGCAACAAAAATAAGAGACAAGACAAGGAGCAAATGTTTATAACAGTTGCTATTGTTTGCAATCCAGTATGGTACAAAATACCATTTTAACACATTTTGATTCCTCTTCAGGTTAGATTTACATGTCATTACTGAATTGGTAGCAAAGTTGGAATTCATCTGACTCCTACTATTTGGTACCTATGTCTACAATTTTGGACACTTAAGATCTGCTAATAAAACTTTCCTACTTTACTATATAAAAATCTATTGTGATATATTTTAAAGCAACTTACATTTGCTGAGAGTTGAGATGTGAGAGTAGCAACTTTTTCTTGGGATGCAACCAGCTCTCTTCTCAGTTTATGGATTTGCTGAATGCAATTCAAAAAAATTAATTCAATATACTAATAGATTATTAAACTCATAATTCAATCCAAAACAGCAAGTAATATATACAGATCCATTAGCCACGTCTGTTGCTAAACATAAAAGATATGAACACCAGCTACACAGCAGTGATCAAATACCAGTCAGGAAAGAAGCAAGTGTCCAGCTTCAGAGTTGGAACTCAGATCTTAAATCCTTCCACTTCCCATCCTCCCTCCATAACTCCTGAGGTAATTCAGTTCATTGTTTCTTTTCCTCTAGACAATTGTGGTAATAAAATCCAGGTACAAACCTACATTACAAAATTAAGTAAACAATCATACACATTGTACCTTTTCATTTTGGAATTATTTTTGCTTGTTTATTTGCAAAAAGCCCTCTATATTATTAGACAATCTTGGATCACCTTTGAATGTGTGCATAATTTCAATTATCTGTAGTCTGACAACTCCTTTAAAACTGAAGGATATCCTAAAGCATTTGAAAATTTGGTTTAATTCAACATTCTATGAAAAATGTTTCATAGAATGGAGTCATAATGATTACTATAAAAGCATTCCCAAATATGTATTGTAAGGTTTTTTATTCAGCAATTTGCCAATAGCTTCAGGCACAAATGCATTACAGATATCCACAGTTTAGAATTAAAAGGAAGTCCCTAAAAGGGCACAAGGAGATACATTGACAAAATAAATATTTTTAAATGTTTGCCTTTTTCAGTTCATATGTTACGCAAAATTGAAATATAAAAAGATGAGGGAATATCACATAATATTTAAAATTTTGATATAAGTATTTTCTACAATATAACCTAAATATATCATGCTGTTTGGAAATTTAAACAGTGATTAAAATGTAAACTATTTACAAATATAAGACAAGATTTGATATTTCTTGCTCAAGGAATTTCGGTCATTTAAAATGCCAAACTTTTTACTACTTTTTTTTTTCCATAAACAAATGTGCTATTGTTGGAGTTGGACTTCTGGAATACTGTCTTTGTTTGCAAAAGCGTGTTGACACAGTTCATTAACTGTCTTTTCTCCCCTTGCATAATAGATTTTGTGGAAATGAAGTGGTAGTCAACACTGAAAGAATTTAAAAAGGAAGAGAATGCACAGCTGGAAGCAGAGATAGTAGACATTTATATGATTTCACCAAATACTATTCCATTTCATTTTTATTTTCTTTAAAATGACATTCCTAGCCTCAACTAACATTTGAGCTACATACGTGGAGTGACAACTAAAAATAGTTCTAGAAAGTAGAGCATCTGTTTTATTCATAGACCAATATAAGAGAAAGAGACTTTCTCAAATTAATACTCTCTACTACATGATTCTAATTCCATTAATGTATAAGCTAGAAACTGCAAATTAATTTAAATTGTGTTTTAAAAAAACAATGACCCACTCTAGAGTAAAAGTGATAAAAAGGCAATTGGACAACTATTGTTAAAGCAAATAGCTGAATCACGTCTATACCTCAGTAGTTATATTATGGCTGACATTAGAAACTTTGGTATATGAATGTGATGTAAAGAAAACTGCCAAGATTTTTAAAAATCAAATTCACTGTTTAGTAATTATAAAGATAAATTTTACACTCAATATTTTTTCCAAAATTTTGAACATAGGATAAATTTTACTTTCAAAGCTGATGAAATAAGACTTGTAAGGAAAGGAGTTCTTTTGCAAAGGATGTTACCAAGCACTTATTTTCCCTGTGATCTGGTTGCTTCAGTGCAAACCTATCAAAGAGCCATTACTTGACCTTCAATAAAGTCCTAATTAAAGTTTTCTTTCTTGTCTTAGCCAGGCTCACTTTTACACAAAGGTAAAGAAAAAGAATGTTTATCCAGGTTGCCATTTGATCTGTACATGATTGTAACCAAGCAGATATTTGAGAAATGTGTGTGATGAGAATAATATACTGTTATGGTTTGTGTCTGCATGTCCCTCCAAAGCCTCTTGCAGTCATGGGGCGGGCTTCTAGAGTTTCTGATTGATCCATGGTTCAGTGCTGGAATTATGGATGTGAGTGCTACACCCACCCTAGGGTGGAGAGTTTGCATACATTGTAAGGGAGGGAAAGGGGCTGCTTGCCACCTCTCTCCCCTTTGCTCTTGTTGTTTTTGCTATCGTCTGCCACCATGAACTGTTGCCCTCTACCATGTGCCACTCTGTGTTGGAGCCAGCCAGTATGGACTGAAACCTCCACAGACTGTAAGCTGAGTAAACCTTTCCTTCTTTAATTCTGGGCGTCAGGTATTTTGTCTCAGCAACGAGAGAAAAGTAACCAAGACGTACCATCCAAGACATAAAAGATTGATGAAAGGCCCTGAGGTCATGGCACAAAGTAGATGGACCAGGATGCTGGTATCTACATTATGGAGGCCTGGTGCCTTGATTCCTTTAATCCTATGCAGATAATCTCACAAGAAGTGGAACAAAGATGGTAAGAAAATAGACAAAACTGTGGCTTTCCTACTTTATAGCTTATGCATTCATCAATACCTAAAGAGACAAAATCACTGCAATTTATAAGATGTTGAGCTAAGACTTAATAGAGAATGACAGAGGGAAGATTGTTGCTAAAGCTTTCCTTTCACTGTCTTTGAAGGAGCAAGGTAATACCTAAGACCATTTCATTTATCAACTAGCTAGGTTCTAGCTGCAGTTCTGTAGTTATACTATTATATCACAGAGCCCTCTACTGGTGACAGCACATATTTCATCAGAGATGAAAACTAAAATACTCAAATATTGAAAGGTTACAAGATTTTACCTCTGAATGAGCCTTTTCTTCAGCCTGTTAAAGGTAAAAAGAAAGAGAATTTTAACTATGTAAATTGATGCCAATTCACTAGACATTTAATTAAGTAATTATACCTTTAATGTTTAAGTAATTATACCTTTAATGTGATCAAATATAGTAGCATAAAATGCATAAAAGTTTAAATTACTATAGTAACAACAGAATCCTGCAGGATTTAAAATGAATATTACTCTGTATGTGTAAAGCATGAAGCACTTTAAAATATGAATATCTTAATCCATGGATATGTAATGTGCTTTAAAGAAATGATAGACTTTAAGACTAAGATCTAGATCTTAACATACTGTTTAAAAATTATGTTCTAAAAATCTAGGAAATATTGTACACTTTCATATAGATCATAGAAAATGGACTCGATGAATTTACATAAGGCCCTTTAGCCAAGATTTAGGAGTAATAACTTTATTCTGTGATTTGCGTATTATGAAGAATGCCAAATAGAGCTGGAGGAAAAACTGACCTCTGTTGATAATGACAGAAAATAAAGGTTATTAGTTCCTACTTTCTTGTATTTCCCCGAATGTTTATTAAATAAGTGTACTGGGCTGTAAGTCAGCAAAATACTAAAGGTCGAGCATTACAGTGGTGATGAACGCAAACTCCGGTCTTTGTTACACAGCTCCTGGAAATGTGGCTGGGTGGGAACAAACTCCCGGGATGCTTTTGATGTAGGTACAGGAAATTTCTAGCTGTTTTTGTTTTCTTCATGTTGGGCTGCAAAATGCCCGAAAATGGTTTCCGTGTAACATTATATTTGGGAAGCTGCTGCCCTCTGGGAAATCCTGGACAACACCTGTCTCTGATGGGCACAAGTGTGGTCGTTGCTCTACAGAGAACCGAAGTTGGAAAACAATCTCTGATCCACTTTCTCTAACCTTTTGATATTTCCTGATTAATTGATGCAAAATAACTGAACCACTTTTTATTTCTTCTTCTTTAGAATATATAGGATAAAGAGTATAATTACCAGGATATATTTCATGAATAAGCATTTTTCTTTACCCTAGTTTTACCTTTTTCATATTTTCTCTACCTTGAAAAAAGTGTCATTTGTAATATGGCAGTTAGGTTAAAGCATGGTAAACTGGTAGAATATTAGTAGTCCTTGTAAGAAATCTATGTTTAAGAGCAATGTTGACCTGCACCTTGAATGTTTTACAGCTTATTTTCAATTTTTTAAGTGAGGATTTTCTTTTTTAAAATTCTAATGATTTCAACACTTTTTTTATTCAGAAGCAAGGAATTTCAAGTTAAAAATTTAATTCCCTTATGCAATGAAAACAGCAAAATTAACTATGATAATTACTTTTCCTTGATTCTTGCTGGGGTTATTGCCATTTTATTTGGTCCAAATTGTGTGCCTTGTTGTTTTGGGATTATGTTAAATTGGCTACAGAATCAATAAATAATCTGTATGTTTGAAAAAGAGATTTATTCTATTTAAAAAGGGGGAAATATTATCACATTTTTTCATTAAAATAGCCATAGGTTACATATATTAAGAGAAAACATAACTGCTGCATATTAATTAATATTAATTCTATATTTTTTTCTCAGAGCTGATTTTTAAAACTACAATTTTCAAGAGTCCTTATCTTTGCCCATTTTCTGCAGTTATTAGTACTGGATAGGTTTCCTACCAAGTTGAAGCACTAAGTCAGAATACTATTATATTTCTTTCATTGGCTTAGGTATGGAGTTAATGATATTGCGATAGAGTTTGATTACTGTCATTTTAATGTTGGTTTTGAATTAATACCAATATCCTGCAAGATGGTAAATAATATAACACATCTTTCTTTAATAAAGTTATATCAGTTGATTCTTTATCCTATAAGCCATTAAATGTTCATTTACATGTCACTCAAGTTTAATAATTAAAGAATACTTCTTTGGCATTGTCTAAGTTAAGCAACATGTAAAGGAAATGCGAAATCAACTGATCACGCTATTTACTTTCAGGAAGTCAATATAAGTTAGTATCTATGCACATTATGAGTCCAAGGCAAATGTAATCAGTTGAAATAGCATTTATTGTATAGTCCAAATATTTAAATATCTAACAGGATCAGACTTGTAAAGAATGAAAAGGGCTCTAGGTATTCACAAAAAGAAAACTGCACAGTTTTTCTAGTGTATCTTTGATATTTCTAGGCTTACTAGAGATATCCAATACTCTTAAGCCTATTATATTTCTGGTTTAAGAATATTTCTTAAGAGCCAGGTGTGGTGGTGCATGCCTGCAACCCCAGCACTCGGGAGGTTGAGGCAGGAGGATCACTGTAAGTTTGAGGCCAGCCTGAGCTACATAGTGAATTCAAGGCCAGCCTGAATTACATAGTGAGACACTGTCTTAAAAAACATAACAAAACAAAACAAAAAAGTAAAACAAAAGAAAAAGAGTAAGGAATATTTCTGTTTGTGGGAAGAGCAACAGAAATGACAGTTATTGACTCAAATGTACTATAGTGTCATGAAGAGAGGAGGAGGAGGATGGGCAGAAGTCGTGACTTCCCTGAATACAGTGCCAGCATCTACAATGGCATGGACCTGGAAGGCTCCATCTCAGTGGGACTGCCCATCGTGGCACTTAGAATTGTTGACCTACACAGATATGCATTTGTTCTGCTTAATTTTTTTCACATTATACACTTAATACAGTACTTCTTTATGATTTCTGGGGCTGGGGATTTAGCTCAGTGGCAAAGCGCCTGCCTGGCAAGCGTAAGGTGGTGAGTTCAGTTCCCGGTACCGGAAAAAAAAAAAAAAACAAAAAAAGGAGACTCCAGCACCTTCTTTATGATTTCTAATTACCTGTAGTGTGTGGACATTCCACTTCTATTTTTCTATACTTTAACAATTGTTTTATTTCTTTTGATGCTGGTTTTGCTTTGATTTTTGTGAAAGGCTCTCACTATGCAGTCCTAGCTGGTCTTGAGCTCAGTGTACAACCCTGGCCAGCCTCAAAGTCCTGCTTTTCCCTCCTCAGCTTTCCAATTGCTGGTATATAGGCATGTGCCATGACCCTTGTTCTGGTGACTGACTTTTTGATTAACATGTATTAATTATATATATTACTGGGCTTCAGTGTGGTATTTTCATACATGGATGAAGTGTACATTTTTCACATCCTTTATCTACCCTCCTACAATTTATTATTATTATTTTTTTTGTGTGTGGTACTGGGGATCAAACTCATGACCTTGCACTTGCCAGGCAGGCACTTATGCCACTGAGCTATATCCCCAGTCCCCTTGTATAATGTTTTAAATGCACCTTTTCTCACTTATAAAACAGCACTATAAATTTAGGCAAATTAAAATAAAAAATTATTTTCCTGTCACAGGAGACACATTTGAAATAAGCAATAGCAATCTGTGGGTAGCAGTCACCACAGTAGCTAGTGCAGATATGGAACATTTTGTTTTCACAGAAAAGTCTACGAGACCCCACTATAATAATTTCTCGTTTGTTCTCCTCAAAACTATCCTTTTCTTTTCATGAGTCTTTCTGGGATTCATATGGAAGTTTTGTCCAAATATTACTGTACTTAAAATATTCTTATAATGATATTTCATAATTTGCTTTTATGTAGAGATTTAAATTACAGGATAGAGTTCCTCAACAAGAGGCAGTATTGACAGAATAGAAGAACATGGAATCTTAACAGTTTTGCTTTATGTACTTTCAACAGATTTTCACATTCTGTGTTTCTCATTAGATTCAAAGGTTAAATCCATCTAAACACTAATAATGTTCTCTCTACTTTTGAACTTATTAGCAATTTTAATCATTAAAAGGAGAAATGAGAGTAATACTGTATCTGCAGTGATGATTCTATTTGAATGTTCCATGTATGGCAGTAAATACGTATGATTGACTTATAAGCAAAAGGCTGTAACATTTAAAACTAATGGAAATGAGTGAAAAAATTAATATTGTCCTTAATGCTTAATTGTTCAGTGACAGCTGAAGGCTATGAACTTTTCACAAATCTTTCAGTACAGGATTAAGCATTACTCATAGTACTCAAGACTCATTGAAATTCAGTAAGCTGCTTTAAATGTACTTCGCTACTACCAGGGCATGAAGGAAGCTTCTTATAGAGCGTAAGTTCCTACAGACTTTTTAAAAAGATGAAATTACAGTTAATGAACAAAAAAAACCACCTCATTTTGGAAAGAAAAAGTGCTATAATTTCACCCATTGGGAGAAGAAGTTGAAGCACTGGTACTCCTGAGAAATAAAGTATTTTAAATTAAACTCCATTTCAAAGATACGTTTTTAAAAAGAGGCAGTTCAAAAAAAAAAAATAGGCAGTTCATTTAGGTTTTTACGCTGGGGCACCATATTCTCAGGAAATAACTTTTAAAATATAAAATAAAAGAGGAAAATATTGTAGAGCAATTAATAGGCATCAAAGAACCAAAGAAGGAAGTCAACATTATGAAATTATGGTAGATCTTAGTACATGGTGTGAAGGAGCCCATATCCTCATAAGTTCTATGAGATTCAGTGTTGCCTACACTCATTGTTTGCAGTAAGTTCACAGAAGTCAAACGAAACCACCTGAAAGGGCTGGGGGAGCACCTGCCAGCTTATCAGGGATCCAGGAGCTTCAATTATGCCCTTAACGTTTACATAGCATCTGTGTAAATGCAGATCTGCTGATCAGTTATCTGTGCACCTGGAACGGAGTAAAGCTTTTCCTTAACAGTCAGTACTTACTGTGGAATACAGAGAAGAAGTGCTGGAGACCAAGGACAACGAAGAGCCATGAACTGGGGAAAAGAAAAATGAATCATTAAAATAGAATTAAAATAATGAAATCGACCCATACCCTGTAGGCCTGTACTGAAAAAGTAAGGGATAGGTTGTTAGGGAAATAAAATAATAACAGCCAGCTATAATATTCTGATAATGACTCTGCTGTCAATTTTTTAGAGATTATAATATTAAGACATGAAAATATCTGATATTTTTTCCCAGAAGCACCTCATTCACTAAAATATAGAGAGAAGTTGACAAAAAGAGTCTGATACACATGATCCACACAAATTTAAAGCTGTAGAAAACCCCCAAGTAAACAGAAGATCATAGGAACCCAGATTAAAGCTGTCACAAGCTTTTAAATGTAAAAAATTCTATTTTATTTATTTAATTTCATTTTTATGCAACAAAGATATATTTTCAGAATTTGTTTTCATACATAATTCAAGGAAATAAGTATTTTATCAACCCGGCTATTTAAATGTTATTTAAGAGTTGATTGCCTGTTGTCCCAGCACTTAGAAGGCTGAGCCAGGAGGATCGCTGAAAATTTGAGGCCAGCCTGGGCTACAAAACAAGTTCAAGTCAAGCCTGAACTGCATAATGAGACCCTGTCTCAAAAAGACAAAAAAAAGGAGGGGGAGGTAATTGTGTTCTTTTAAATGCAAAATTAGTTTCATTAGACATTATAGTAAGATACAAATATTTCTTATTTCAAACAGCATCTCACAAAAAGTGAAAATGGAAATTGCAACCATATATATATACACACACACACACACACACACACACACACACACACACACCAGGCTAGGGATATAGCTCAGCAGCACAGTGCCTGCCTGGCTAGCACAAGATCCTGAATTCCATTCCAGGTACCAAAAAAGAAAAACCACCATGTTAAACCCCTAAATGCCCATTTTATATTTCAGTACTATACTTCTAATATATTAAATCCTAAAGAAGACTAACATTGTATTTTATTAAGTCTGCCAAAATTCCTTTTATTATAGAATAATACAGTTATTTTTAATGCATGCTTTAAACAGATATCAGCTGAAGAAACATATAATTAAAAAGTAATTACAATACAGTAATACAAATGCTAACAAGATCCTATGCTGGCATAAGAGAACAGGAGAGGTGCTAATCACTTTGTCTCAAATGGGCTGGAAAAGTGGATGAAAACAAAGGAGTTAATTTGAGACACCAAGAACCTCTTTAGGAGTGGTAATACACCTGTATGAATTCAATAGATAACCAAAGAACTACTTCAAGATTTCTAACTTGCATGAAAACTACCAATGTATGAAATGTGTGACATATTAATCTTTGAGTCTATTTACAAAAGGCATATTATTTTAACCTCTAATAGCTCTTATATGAACTAAGAGTGTTAGCAAGGTGTATCAGAGAGAATATAGACAACTCATCAGAAGATTTTATATTCATTCTTTATCTGCCACTTAGTATTTATAGGTCTATGACCATAAGCTTGGGGCTTAGTCTCCTCATGGGTGAGTGCTAGTGGTGGGCAAATTATCAATAAGGTCCTTTGACTCTAGTTCAATAATGTTTTAAATTTTTTAAAATGCAGAATTAGTTTCTTTAGCAATTTAAGATCTAGATCACAATTTAAGAAAAACAATAGTTCATATTCAAGGCAGAGATACCAAAAAGCCAACTTGCCTACTTAGGGTGGCATTCTGTGGCTCAGATGTTTCTAAGACTCATCTGTAGAGTGCTAGAACTTCCAGCACATAAATATCATTCTGTTTGTAAATAAGGGATTATAGAGAGACATCTATGTGGTTAGACATCTATGTGGACATCTATGTGGTTATTTTTAAAATGTTACAAAATGTTTTTAATTCTTCTGTGAAGATACCAAGAAGGGGAATAGCTGAGTCAAATGGGACCTCTCATCCTAGTTTTTTGAGGAATCTCCACACTGATTTCCACAGTGGTTGCACTAGTCTACACTCCCACCAACAGTGGAGAATGGTTCCTTTTTCCCCACAGCCCCTCCAGAATTGATTATTGGTTGACTTTTTGACGATAGCAATTCTTTCTGGGCTGAGATGAAATCTCAGTGTTGTTTTAATTTGCATTTCTCAGATAACCAATGCTGTTGAACATGTTTTCATATATTTATTTGCTATTTGTATTTTTTCATTTGAGATGTGTGTATTCACCTCAGATGCCCATTTTTCAGCGATATATGTGCACCCATGTTTATAGCAGCACAATTTGTCATAGCTAAATCTTGGAAACAACCTAAATGCCCATCCACTGAGGAATGAATAAAAAAGATATGGTGTTTTTATACAATGGATTATTACTCAGCTGTAAAGAAAGATAAACTAGAAATTTTATAGGTAAATGGGTGCAACTAGAGACCATACTCATAAGTTATATAAATCAGACCCACATGTGTAAAAACCGTATTGTCTCCCTAGCATAAGAACCTGAAAGAGCAAATAAGATACAAAGGGTACAAAAGATATTGTGAGAGGGAAAGAAACTGCCCAAAAGGAAAGAACAACTGGGATGGGGGAAAGGAGAAATGAAGGAAGGTATATATTATATATATATATATATACACACACACACACAAGATAGCTAAGATAATTATACTACAAATTTCTATTAGTTCATTGAAAGGAACAGTCAGTGTTTATATTGTTTGATCAATCTTATATACCTATATCTGGTAGTCTGAGCAACTACTCCAAAGATAACAATATGAAATACCATAACCATTGTTTTTTTGTTGCTGTTTTGTTTTGTTTGGTGCCAGGAATCGAACTCAGGGCCTTGAGCTTGCCAGGCAGGTGCTGTACCACTGAGCTATATCCCTGGCCCTTATAACCATTATTAATTTCCTATCATTTGATTTGAAATTCTGTATCATTTTTATTGTTTTTTCTTATCTTTAAAATAAACAACTAAAATATTACAAGAGGCCTGGCTATGAAGGAATGACAAAGAAGCAGTGGTCTTACCTTTCACGTTAGTTACATTTTCTCTGCTACACAGCTGAGTCAGGTGATTCACAGGGTATAATTTACTATCTGCCTCAGTGAAATCAATGGTTTGGTTACTATCTCAAAAGGTAGAGGCAATTTTTGCTAAAGGATTTAGTGCCAGCGTGTCAAATGTATAGTGATGACCTAAAAAACATGAGTCAATTTTCATAGCTACCTAAACTTTTAGTTAGAAGACATTTTAAATAAGAAGGTAGGAAGAAGAAGGAGGAAGAACAAAGCTTGCTTAAATTTATTCTGTAATAAATGTGAGGCTAGAGGCTTTCATATTGGTATGTTCCAAGATTTGGCAGTTTTTTTCTTCTATACATAATTCTTGTCTATGAAAGTATGGGTGTTTTAATGTTTGATTCTATTATAATGAGCTTGGATTTCTGTTTGGTTTCATTTTATCCTTAGATGATATGCTTTATAATATGTATGTCACATGTTTCCTTTATGAATGATGAATAAAAATCACTCATGAAATTTTAAAAATAATTATTAGCAATTTTTACATTTGAGGATAGTTTAGAAAACATATGTGCATTTAAATATCTAGTAAGCCTACGGAGTTTTAAAAATAGATTTACTGGAAGTATTCACATAGAACTGTACAATGATAAAGACATTTGTCTGATGAGGTGAGAATTTTATTGTCAACAGACAAAAACTGACTTTTAAAGTAAAATGTAAGTACAATGTGAGTTTTAATATGATAGAAGAAACTAACACCAGAGGGAGTTTTTGAGAATACAAATCAGCATGAGTAAGTTTTACAAGATAATTTTTCTGGTTTGTGTGCCTTTATGGTACTTTAACTGTGATATCAAACAAAACATTTACTGTAATATTTGATACATCTGGGAAGTCTCAAAAATTCTGTACCTTTCTGTATTAGGAGATTGGTTTCATTTTCTCAACTATTCTACAGCCAAGCATTAATGTATACAAATTCTGGGGTATTTCCCAATGATCTCCAACTTGAGGGTTCTCGAAATGAGAATTATATTTATTCATTTATTTCTTCTTTAGTAATCTTTGTTCTGTGATAGGATAGTTTCTCTTTCTGAGTTAAATCAAATTACCTCATGCCTATCCTGCTGCCCCTCAAACGTACCTTCTTCCATGCTGTCCCTGAAGGAGCCCGAGTGACTGATGGCTCGTGGCCTCTCCTCCAGGGAAGTGGCGCTCCCACAAAGTTGAGAGTCATCGTAGAGATCGAAGGAGGAGTCCTGGGCTGGGATGCTGTTGGAGCGCATCATGGTGGGCCCGGGAAGGTTAAACTGAGACAGGTTGGTTGGACTCACTGAAAAGACAAAGCACCCCAGCCTGTTACTCTGGAGTTTGAACAATGAAAATGAGAGGTTAAAAGATAGAAAACATTGATCCCAATTCTTGTAGAAAAATGAATTTACAACGTGTTTCTGATGAAGGCAGGCACAGAGTCTGTGAAACATTAACAACACACGTCATGGAATCTTTCTTTTCTGAAACTGTCCTGATAAGTAGTATGTCAATTTGTCAAGCAATATGAAACAAAACCACCTATGCTTCTCTCTGGCTTATGTTACAAATATTATAGTATGATAACCACCAATACAAAGAATATTGTGGTTGCTTAAATGTACAACTACACTGAAAACCTCAGTTTTGAAATATGGAATAAAATTAGAGCAGAAAAATCTGAGAATCACTTTTACTATGAATGCTTATATTTAGGAAAAGTAAATTTGTTTATGACATCTGAAAAAAATAGGCCAAACCTTTTTAAAATATGGAAGGAACTGCTAAATATTTTCAGAACCTTGGAAAATGTATGTCATTGGCTTGGATTTGGTCTGATACTTTAAAACTTGCTTTATTTACTTATGCGACATGGGCACTAAACTTCTTAATTCTATATAATTAATAAGTTTCACAGTAAGGTAAAAGAGTGTACATCAGGGTAACTAAAAGGGAGTCCTATTTGACAGGTGCTGCCTTGGTATTTCACATGTTTTGATGAATCATTGAGCAAAACAGCACAATTATATATTACAGTAAAGGAAACAAAGGACTGGAACCACATCCACATGTGCATATGGTAATATAATGAAAAGAGGAAACTGTGGATTTGCAAAATATAGAATCCATTGGAAGCAAAGAAGAAAGAATAGAGAGGAGAAGAAATGAAAGAGAAGGAGGAAGAGAGAAAGAAACATGTGGTGAGAGGAGAGAAGGGAGAGTAGGTATCTGTCCATTTTTTCTCGGGCATATTCCTTTAACAATAGCAATCATTAGTTACAGTTCGCTCTGGTTACTGGTAACACCCAGTAGGTCCATGGAAGGACATTCAAAACCTGAACATTTATGTTTATGGAGTTTTGACTAAGTTTATAATGTGAATTAAATGTTCTGAAATAAGTGAACTTTTCTACATATTTACAAAAGTATCATTTTAATATATTCATGTAGCGGTTAAAAGGATACTTCATTCACTCTTTGGCTTTGCATAATTGTTATCAAAATGATTAGAAAGGTAGCCAATTGAAATGTCTTCCTATAACTTCAAAGCACATTTAACTTATTGAATGTAAACATCAATGAAAATGATACGTTTTTAGGGAAATATTTGCATTTAAAAAGACTTTTGATGGTGTTTTCCAATGAAAATATACTATACTATTTAACAACGTTCAATTAAATTACTATCTATGAGAGGTTGCTCTGGTGCTGTGTTTGAGCTGAAAGATAAACATTACATAGACCCTGACTTCTAGAGTGGCCACTAAGAGAGGTGATGGGAAGGTGGAAAATTTAATACACAAAATATACAAAGAAAAATTATGTAACAGAAGACAACAGTAACAAAAAGAGGATTTTTTCAGAAAATCCTCTGAAAATAGTAAAGGGTATGTAAAGGGAATGTGAACATTAATGAATAGTAAAGGAACAGAAAATAGTAAAGGGCTTCCATAGAAGTTTTGCTTTCTGTGTGCTCCAAGAATGAAAGAATGAACAAACAAACAAACGAACGAACAAACAGAAAAGTAAAGCAATAAATATGACAGAATAAGTGGCCTCTCAAGCCTAGGAGACACATAAGAATTTCTCAATAGGAGAGAAGTAGATGTGGTCATCTATTAAGTTAAAGAAGGCTACTGAGCACATCTCACATGAATGACACATAGCAAAGCCACTTTTTAATTAAGGTTATAACCTTACTTGTGATGATCTGAGGAGTACAGGAGATGATTTGAGAAGAAATATGAACCGCACTTTTAAAATCTTCCAAATCACTCCCTACCCTTGCTTCTAGAGCTTGACATCAGTGGAGCTTAGGATGCTGCTGTTTTCTGTTTGTTTGCTTTTGTTTTTTTGAGGCAAGGTCTTGCTATGCAGTTCAGGCTGGCCTTGAGCTCACTTTGTAGCCAAGGTTAACCTCAAACTCACAGCAATCCTCCTGTCTCAGCCTCCCAAGTGCTGGGATTATAGGCCTGCGCCAGCCTCCCCCCCCGCTAGGATTTTTTTTTAAATAAGAAAAAAGTCCTGTCCTCAGAAGCTAATTTCAGTTTTGCTCGTGGAATCTGCATGTATAATTAAGTAGAACAGTTGAAAATTCAGAAAAAATTTATTTTACTTAACTTTTTTGGAGAGTGAATTTAGAAGTATGTTATTTCTAGATTTAAATAGTTTGTGTCATTGGTAAGTCTAGAGAAGAAACCAGAGAGATCACAAATACTTGTATATTTGTGGATTGTATTTTGTTATCAAAAATGATTAGAAAGGTATCCAACTGAAATGTCTTCCTATAATTTCAAAGTATATTTAACTTATTGAATGTAAACATTAATGAAAATGATACATTTTTAGGGGAATACTTGCATTTAAAAAGACTTTTGATGGTGTTTTCCAATGAAAATATACTATACTATTTAACAATGTTCAATTAAATTACTATCTATGACAGGTTGCTTTGGTCTTGTATAAAATGGATGCTTGAATCAGATGTGGGTCTCAACTGTGGCAGTCTTTGCTTCCATTAGTATAGAAGAAACAGTTCCATTCAGAATGGCTAAAACATGTATATGCAAAGAAAAAATTACTCAAGGTAAAAAGATGCTTGTCAGCAAAAGCATAGAAACTCTTTCCTTGCAATAATCATTCTGCACGCAAAGAGCCATCTACTGTGTAGAACTGGGGAAGTGTTAATGCTTTTGCATAATAACCTTTATGGCAATGTGAAAAATGAATATGAGCAATTGCTATTACTCGTGGGACATCACAAGTAGTTTTACCAGGTTATAAGCCTTACAGAAACCATGAACAATACAAAATGAAGTTTAATCCAAAGCCTTAGTTTGCGTAAGTTATATTCTGATATTCTTTCTTGAGTGGAAATGGTTTCTCATATAGCTAGCATGTAGAGGAATACCCATAAATGATTGTTTACTTCAGCAGTAGTTTGTAATAGCATACAATAAATAACCTAGTTGTAGTGCTCTTAAATTTCTAATGCTTGTTATATGTAACTATAATAATTCATGTAAAAATTTTATAATCGTACACATTTTAATAGGTAGAAAGGATCAAGAAAACATGAATACCATAACTCTTGAATTTTACTACTAATGAAGTATTTCACTGATCATTCAGAAAATAATGATCAAATTGAAAACAATGGATGTTCAAAGCAAATGTAGGACAACATCATACTTAACTCAAATTTAGTTAATTACATTTTGCATATTTTTAAAAACTTAATAGTAGAATAACTTTGATTTCTTATTAAATTTTAGTGCTGCCCCCTTTCTTTGCCAATAAATATAAATTCAAGTAATCTGAGAATACAATCAAAGCTCTTTAAAAAACTTATTTTCATGTTTCAAAACTATTTCCATGTGTAAAATTACAGCACATAGAAATTTCAGAATGTTGGAAGCATGTTTGCTTATAAAATTTGGGTAGGCAATAAGAAAACTCTTATACAGATAGGAAGGTCTTCTCTCACACAGCCCAGTAGCTGAAAATATTTATCGACAAGCAGTGGGGGCGGGAAGATCAGTTTGGAACCTACTGAAATTATCTAAATTTAAGAAAAAGTTTTAACATAGTAATGACACTGAAAAGTGAGATATACTACCTTTTTTAAAATATATATATATAATTGTGATGTAGGAAAGGAGAGGTTAGCACTCCCCTTCACAAGGATGGAAGGGGTCCTTGGGCCTGACAACACTCATATGGTTAAGGCATTCCAATCTATTTCATGGCATTTAACCGCTGTTTTTGGAATGGATAAAAAGATGTGATATTTTTATACAGTGGAGTACCACTCAGCTATAAAGAAGGATAAACTTGAGATATTTATAGGGAAATGAATGCAACTTGAGTCTGTACTCATAATTAAAATAAATCAGTCTCACGTGTGTAAACATTGTATTCTCTCCCTAGTGTAAGAAGCTGAAAGAGTAAGTAAGGCCCAAAATGTACAATAGATGTTGTGAAATGGGAAGAAACTGCCCAAAAGGGAAGACATACTGGAATGGGGGGAAGGAAAGAGGAAGGAAAGGAAAATATGTAAATATATATGTATAGAAGTTAGTTACGATAGCTATACTACTAATTACTATTTAGTTCACTGAAAAGAAAGGTTTATGCCTATATTGTTTGATCAATTTTCCATGCCTATATCTTGTAATCTGAGCACCTGCTTTAAAGATAACAATATGCAATGTACTAACCATTGTCACTCTCCTACAATCTTGTTTTGAAATTTCATACCATTGTTTTTGTTTCTTACTTTTCTTTCCTTTAAAACAAAATTTAAAAATCTAAAAAAATGAAAATCACAGGGTTTCATCTATTGCAGAATATGATGGAGGATAGTGCAGTTTTGAGTAAGCCTATTGACTACACTGAGATTTTGCTTTGGTGTAGCTGCTGGAGAGTTGTATGTGGAATTATAAGGGAAAGAGAAGATAATAGCTAAGGAAAAGACTTTGATTTGTGATGGTAATGTGGTCTATGCTGACAGGATTTGAGTTTTAGTGCCCCCAAAAAATCTCAGAGTGAAAGAGGAATTTTGATATGAAAGGTAAGATTTCCAGTTGTGGATGAGAGTGTAGACCGTTTGTTTAGGATGAGAAATGTTCTAAAGATAAAAAGTCTTGGTGAACACATAAAAATGCGGGGCAGATGGACAATAAAGTGTCTGCAGAATTTACACCTAAAACCTAGACCAGTTATAAATGCAGTCTCTTTCCCTTGTAAAAGTGACACTGTTTATACAACAAATGATAGTTACGAGAAGAGGAAGAATTTCAGTTGGAAAATTATAAAGAGAAGCAAGAGGGCTGTGTCACTAAAGACAAAACCTGAAGTGTTTTCAGTTGTGCCTGAAGCTGCAGTGAGACCTCTGGTGGAAAACTCAGTAGACTAATGTGGGAGATTCACATCCTAGAAAGCTGAGCTTGGCCTTTTACGTTCTTGCTTTCATAGCAATGAAAAACAAGGGATGTGTCTGATCAGTAGTTTTGAAGTCAAAGGCATCAGGACACTAAGGTTCTACAGAAATGGTTTGTTATGTTATCAGTAGAAGTATAATTCACATTTCATCTTGATTGCGCTTTGATTCTAAAATCCGGGCAATCAAATGCATTCTCCAATGTGTGATATCTCAATTTTTAAAACATATTTGTAAAAACACAGTGATTCCAGCTGACATGACATTTGCATAACTTTTATTTATACAAAATTATAAGAAATTTATCTCTGGGCAAATATTTGACATTCTTGGTAAGTGAGGCCTTATTTCAAATGTCAGACTTTTGTATTAGTGTCTTTTATTTCTAAGCTATGAAACTCCTTTACATTAAATTGCATAGTCACTGTATTGTGAATTATACCCAATTAAAGGCAGACAAAGATCACCCAAAGCTGATGAATCCATGTTGTTGTTTTAGAGTATAAAACATGCTTTATAATAAAATGATTGTTTGCCAGAATCTATCAGATAGTCCCTTTGTACTTCTCAATACTCATATTGAGAAAACTGAGGCTTCTCCAAGGTCAGATATATTAAAGGGTAAGGTTTTTCTTTCTTTTCTTCAAAGATAATTGAATAGATGGATTTAAGCAGAATGATGGTAGAAAAGTGGCAGAAGAAGTCAACTACTCAAATGCCAATTAATGAAAAACTTTAGAGGTGGTATGAAGTACTTAGCAAATTCATAGCAGTGAGGTGGTTTGGGTTTGCTTCAGATGGTCCATGAAATTAGGTTTTTTTTTTATATTCCTATAGCTTAACAAAAACATTTTCAACCGGTTTTTTGAAGTTAAAGACTAAGGCTATTTGCTCTGCTTTATAACTATGATTCAAAGTAAATATAAACTATACTTCTTTTGGCATTTATGGAACAAAGAAGCCTCATCACTGTGTAGATTAAGCAAGGAAAACTTGCAGTTAATGAGAATTAATTAGTGCATATAGAACCATGACCAAAATAATTGCTTTTAATTGCTAAAAGCCTGACTTGGAAAAGTTATGACAGAAAAGAAATAGGGTTGAGTTCAATGTGGTTGAAAGTTGAAAAGCCCAAATTATTGAAGAATGTGAACCATCTGTGGGGACAATATTACAAAGAACTTTTTCCAGTGAAAACATAAAAAAATGACACTAGTTCATATGTGACATTATAGAAGATAAATGATAGTCTATTTTTAAAGTCAACAGATCTATTGAATTATAATTGGCATGTTTACACTTACTGTCTTGTTACTCTTCTCTGCTGTCTATGACATTTATGGAAATGATTTTCTACTTCCCAAAATGATGCTAAGTAGAAAGTAACTCCATAGCTACTACAATAATTTATTTTTCATTGTATTTAACTTAAAATGTTCATGGAATATTGTCTAAACAGGAACTGATATATTCTAGGGAGAATTTTAATTTTAATAATGTTAAAAGAATCTATTTCACAGTCATGCCATTGTGTGCCATTTCCTGTTTTTTATTTTTCTATAAAAGGCTTATTATTTTTGCTTCAAAGAAGTTTTAGCAGTTTAAACAAAAAATAAGCAACTGTTTTACTAGTTTTAAAGAGGATTCTAAGATGCAGCAGTTAGGTTGCTGGGCTTTAACTCAGATATTCTGGGTCTGCTCCGCCCCTTACTAATGGAGAGACTTTTTTTTAAGTCAAGAAAGTTTCTGTAGTTTAGATCGAATACAACAAGAGGATTGTCTGTGTTCAGTAATTATTGTAAACAATTAACAACATAATGTTCATAGATTATTCTGAACTATAAACTACCATAAAAGTAATTTCTATGGGGCAATACCAGGGCTCCCATGATAGTGGGAATGAAATGAACAAAACACAATCTATGCTAGAATAGTTTACCCAAGTTGGAGAAGTGGTATTTTCCTGTAGTAGAAGATGACATGGCAGAAGGGGAGACCAGAGGTGACTGGTTGCCGGTATCCTGCAGCCCTCCAGTAGAATGAGAACGCAACCACTCTTTGCCCTCTTCTTGGTTGGCCTGCCGAGATGATGGGGTGTATCTGCAAAACAGCACAGCTAAGACCTTTAAGCACATTTACAGGGCAAGGTATCATCAAGACAGGCAAACAATTGAGAGGAGTTTACTATTTCAGACTGAACAACAATCTCAAACAGATTGAATCTAATTAGAATTGCTCAGTTCTTCCAGATGATTTGACACCATCTGTTCAAATCCCACAGGAAAAGAGGCATTTGAGAGGAAAATTATGCTTCTGTGAGATAAGAAATTGAAAATTATAAGTAATGAGCAGACAGCCAAGTTAACCGAGAAGGACCCAAAAGTACAGTGCTTGAACGGATGTGATGTGGGTGCAAGTACAGACCAAGAATGATACAGTGGTAAGGACAAAAACCAAAGAAGTGGAGGGGGGTTCACAGAGAGGCACAGGAAATGGAACACACATAGATGGCTGGTTTTTTAGTTTTATTTTTTTAAAGGAAAAACAGTTCTTTGTTAAAATGCCATTGATATAATGTCTATATTTTTTAAGGAAGGAGAGAAAATACGCTCACTTTAGTGAAATCATTTTCTAGATCAAATTTTGAAACAGAATATTTGTTAACTATTTGGTAACAAATTCAACAGACAAAGAACAATGCAGAAGGTCTACTCTGACCTGTACTCTCTGCTTCTCCAGAGTAACTAAATTCTTAGTCCCAAAGACTGGGCAGTTTATTATTTTTATAGTGTTCACCTTCATTAGCGATTTATTTTATATCTCCTCCTTAGGAAAAAAATATGTGATACAGTATGGTCATGAATTAAATTTTCATTTTATTTGTTATTATGAGCTGGTAATTATTTTGAGGTTATTAAATATTATTAGATTTATTCAGATTTAAATTCAACTGATACCAGCACAGCTCAAAAATAAAAATTGAGGCTCTATTTTTTTTTAACAGAAGATACTGTAATCATACCTTAATTACTGTACTATCTTATTATGATGAAAATATATTTTCTCTGATTCAAATTAGAATATTTTTCAACTTTTGATCATTACTAGTTACATCTGTAGACTGCCTGGGTTTTGAGGTTTTGCAAGCATATGCCTCCAAGATGCAAAAATTAGGGAAGTAGTATTATTTTAATTTGGAGAAATGAGCTCTGCCTTCTACCGAAAGTTGGTGCCACTTCTCTAAAGCAAGGCCTGTGATAAGTTTTTCGAGAAGTCTTCTTTCCTCAGAATAGTGGTATTCATATTGAAATTAATTTAATTTGAGTCACCTCTTGACTTCTACCATTATTTAGACAGGCCATCTCACTAACTCTTTTGCCAGAGAAAGCACTAAGATTTAGTGGTTTCATCCTCAATGTCAGGTGCTACACTGCAAACAAAGAAAGAAGGAAAAGAGACAAGCACACAAAATTGATGTAACAACAGAAAAAAAGCAGCAATTGTGCTGAGAGAAATATATACCTTAGTCCCTTTTTGGGGAGTGTATTTCTGTCAAGCTGCATGCTGTTAAAACAAAGAAAATCCCTAAGGACATAATGTAAACAAAACTTGAAAAGTATACATCCAACAAAAATGCTTCTCTGAACTATACAAAATAACTTTTTGGTAACACAATACATAAATGCTTAACTCATTGGAAAATGCCACCCAAGAGTGACAAGATTTCCATTGCTACAACATACATTGAATTCCTAAAATAATACCATTCACTTATACTTTCTTAATGGAATTATTGTAAGACAGATTAAATTTTGTTAGCAGAATTGCCTCTGGATTGCATTGACCTTATGCAACGGCAGTTTTCTCTTCCCTGTGCAACTGACTAGACTTGTTTTGACTTCATATGCAGGAGAATCACAGCGGTGGCAATGATAGAGATATGCTCTAAATTAAAGTGACAACTTCCAATGATCAGAGAGGATGGAACACACCATATTTATGTTCTGTCTTCAAATTAGTTTAAATCAAAAGTTTGACTTATTCCCCATTAAGAGAAGCAGCATAGTATGTAATGAGTATTTTCTTAAAATGATGCTTCTGGTATCACTGATTTATCTAAACATCTTAATGAAATTAAAGTATACCTTGCTTTAGAAATCATCAATTAGTTATTGACAGTTATATAGATTTTTATCATATCTATTTTAAAGACATCAGTTGTTCATAAGCAGGGATGAAAAGATATATATCTAGATTAAATAACAAATGGCCTCTCTAAAAAGAGAAAGAGGGTATAAATGAGTAAGTGGGACAAGTCTATGGCTGTGTTATAATTACTGGCATGTAGATAAACAAAGAATAAAATTAATTTGAATTTGCTGAATTTTTGCTCTCTTTAAAATCTCAAATGATTGAAATTAAATACACAGGATATGAACAATGGGAATGATATAACATGGATGCAAACACACTGACTGAAAATTTCACCATTCAAACTCAAAGCTAAAATGTTTTCTTCTCTGTGTACTCCGCTGGTTAGCACGTAATGGATAGCATCCAAAGGCTTTAGGAAGCTTTATTGAGAATGTGCTCATAATCACTATAACAAATAGAGCCTTTTCCAGTATACATTATATGTTTTTCCACATTAGTTTTCTTACTAGTGTAGAAAAACAAGCAAACAAAGAGAAATTTACTGAAAAAATATGATAAATTTTTTCCAAATATAAACTATATTATATTGAAGTCTCCATGTGGTCACGAACCACTTTAAAGATTACTTTTTTTGTACATGGAAATTAAATGTAAAGTTTCAGAAAAATTAAAAAATAGGTGTACTTTAGCCAATTGTATCCTGTTGAATAAAAAATTATGTTTATATGTCATTGAGCAATTTAATGAAAAACATCAGAAAAATACTTTTAAATGAATAGTATAATTTAAACATTTATGGAGAGTTACCTGAAGCTGGATATTAATAATTGTATTACATAGAACTTTCAGAAAAGCCTCAAGGGTTGCCGATTCATATGCCAGCAAGGGCCTGAGGTAGTATCAATGAACGATTCAGTCAAGGCACTATTTGCCCAGATAGATAAAAGACAGTTTGTCTCGTTTCATTATTTTAAAGTTTTGGTTATATCATAAAAACTACACTTGATCTTAGCCAAAAGGCCAAGAAGCAATCATAGAAACTAGAACAACACAAATTAAATATGGACTAATTATGGCTCAAGGACCATTAATGACCTAGGGCAGCTACAGAGGGAAAAGTGTAAAAAATATTTTATTACTTGTTCATTTATTTTTAATAAGTTAAATAAAAATTAAAATCTGTATGAAAGAAAACTCATACAGTGGTTTTTATAGTACCGTGCTGTAAACATTAAAATATTCTAAAGTAAGGCATGAACTTATATATATGTTTAGTTCTATTACTATCTCTAATTAATTTGCTTTAAATATTTATACTTTAACATACTTTCTCAGATATGACTCACTGATTTCCTTACCATTCCCAATGTTCTGCTAAGTTTAATTAAGCCAGGATCACCAATTACTGTACATCTAAATTTCTACCAGGTCAAAACTTCCTTAATCTACTTTAAAGATTGGGAACAAACTGCTGTTGCTTGCAGTTTTGCTCCTAAAAAAAAGAAAATGCACAATTTTTTGAGTCAAAAATTATTTCAAGCCAGTAAATTCCTGTGAGGTATGAATTAGTACTTTTATTTGACTCTATACCTATGAACATATTAACATTTACTTTATATTGCTTAATTTTACCAGTATTACACATTAAGAATCAAAGTGAAAACATATTTATACAAGAAAAATTTAAAGTACACTTTAGAAAAATGTATTTGGTTATGATAATATATTTGGTTAAAGCTATTCTTTGGTTATGATAATATAAAAAGGTTATAATCATTTATAAAATTGGGCTATTTCCTAGATTGAATAACTGTTTAAAATATAGTTTTGCTGAGAAAGAGGAAGTGCATATTTATTAGTATATCTGCATAGTGAAAACTCATACTGACTTCAGCTAAAATAGAGATCAGACTAAAATATTAAAACTGCATTTCAATTATAGAAATAAAACATCACTCTACACATCTAGTTTTGATTTGAGGCTTACTTGGGTATAATTAGACATTTGACTATCCTGGAACCTTGAATACCAGAAGGCTAAAGACTTGGTCGATAACTATATGGACATCTTGCTGCAGTTACCCTTATAATTTGAAAAAAATCTGTATTTTGGAGGTTAATTCTGGCAAATGAATGATACTGTTTTTAGTATGCTTGATTTGGTTTTCAACTTATTTGGATTCTTTACATCTGAGTATATAATGATCACATTAAATTTTTAATATATTTCCAATATAATTTACTGTATATAGGACAGATGGGGATGCCCAGGCATTTTAAAAGTGCTTAAACTAGAATAGCAGATGTTCTAGGAAGTCTAACTTCTTTGATTTAAAAAATAAAGTAGCGGTATTATACATGCTGTCCATAATAGTAAACTTTAAGAGAAGGTGGATACATTGTACTTTCTGTCATCCAGGTATTTGGCACATTTGTGTTGGCCAAGTTTGTTACGAGAAAACATATATTCTGTAATTTACCAGAAAATGGGGAGAGCAGACTGGGAACTCTTAGGTTAAAGGACAACAGGTGTTCTGTAAACATAGGTAGGTAAGGGTTTTGATTGATGTTTAAAATATATTTAAGGAGAAAAGCTGGAGATAAGAGAAGAGACACTGCCGCTTCAACATCAGAGTGAGAAAGGTTTAGAGAAAGTTATCAGCATTTTCAGGAACCAGCAATGCTTTTCTCAAATAACACAATAAAGACATGTGGCCAAGATCACTTGTGAAAGCTTTATGTGTGCCAAGAAACAAGTATCATTAGGATTTTTAGTGAAAAGGTGGCAGCATTTCCTGGAGTTAGATTCTGTACCAAATTATCTTAGAAAGGATTCTTTTTATTTGAGGAGGACAGGAATCTAGAGACATTCTGTACTACAGTGATATTTTCCCATACGTACGTACATTAGGTAAGAATTGTACATTAAATATTCTACTTTAAAGTTAAAAAATTATAAAATCAATGGATATATCTTGTTATAAGATCAATTTTCAAGAGGCCAATTAAAATGGTACTGGTATATAATTTTCTCTAAAAATGCATGGCTGAAAACTGACTTTTTCCCCACCTTAATAAAGATTCCCCCCAGTGATTCATTTGCTATTTGTTTCATAGAAATGCAAATAAAGCAAATTTAACATATCAGTCAAAGCACAATTGTAGAATGCAAATTAAATATGGTTTTTAAAAAGGATTAACTTAGCATAAGGCTCTTGTGTCCTCCTGGCATTCAAACCAAATCATTAAGATGATTTGCAAAGACATCATTTGATACATAAATACCTGATATAAGTATTATTCAAATTGCCTACTGGTAGTGAATGCAAGCAATCTAAGCATCCTGTCTTTAATGGACTTAGTCCTCTGCAAACTTGGTCCTAAGAGTCAATAAAAAGCCCAGTTTCATCAATCGCATTGCCTTTCAATCTTCTGCTGCTTTGCACATCGGCTCTCACACTGAAATCGAGGGAATCTGATGCGAGGAGAGGGCTGGGCAGAGTGCAGGGAGGGAGGGGTGAGGACTTCATCAAAGCCTGCAGGGAAGCTCACCTTTCTGAGAGAGTAGATCTCACACTACCCGTTCTCATGAGCAGACTCTGCACCTCGTGAGTGCCTGTGGTCAGTCCAGACAAGGAGCCGTGATGGCTGAGGGGCAGGTCAATGGACTCAGAGCTCGTATGGAGGCTAGTCATGGACTGGTAACTTGGAGTGTCCTTGCTGCCGGCAGAGGAACTGCTCAGATTGGCAGCCCACACAAGACCACCTGATGTGAAAGAGTGAACCGATGCTGGGCTGGAAGCCAAAGAGTGACTTAAGCTTATAACATCTGTCGTTAAGTCTGAGGGTTTATTGAAGAGAGGGCTGCTGCCGCCACTCAGCCCACCAGCACTGCCCATGCTGCCCGTACCAGACGATGGCGATTCCAGACTGCCTTGCCGCGCTAATGTGGTACTAGGGCTGGGCACTACTGAGGAGGATTTCACACCCTCAGTGCTAGGTGCAGAGGCAGATTTGCCACCTGCCTTGGCACCAAACAACCTAAAAGAAAAACAAATAACAACTTCAGTTGTTCCACGAAACTAATATCCATATGTACTATTAAGGGTAACAGTCTACAGAGCCAAGTGTGCGTTGGTGTACAGAGCTACCAAGCACTTCCTGTCTCTGTTTATGAACCCCAGAAGCTTGGAATTTCTAGTAATCAAGGATAAGTCAGTCCCGGGCTGCTACCCAGGGGTAGGGAGAAGAGGACAAGTTCAAACATGAAAGTCCTTGACTTTCACAATTAAAGTACGCATAAGAATCTTTTACTCATATATCATGAACGTTCTTGTGGTTACCTATTTACAAAACCATTATAATGAAACAACTTCTACGCATTCGATATAGAACAGTTAAGTGTAGTTTTCTCTTTGTGTTTTTTCCTTTCTTAACAGTTGATTCAAAATCTTTAAAAAAAAAATGGCATGCTTAAGGCCAGGTTGAGGAAGTGCTGTTGAATATCTGGTGGCCTGTGTAACTGTTGAAAAGAAATTGATGGGAAACAACATTGGCAACATGGGGGTTTGTCCGTGTTTTCTCCAGAAAGGACAAAGGGTTTTACATCAGTTGCCAGAGCCATTCAAGTGCATATTTACAAGAGTGATTTGAAATACAGCAGGTGCTAAGTCAGATGTTGGAGTTTGGTTCAGAAAACATTTTAGTTTTGTAAATGAAGTAGATGATGCAATCAAATTCATGTAAATATGGAAATAGTGATATGAAGTAATGGCATGATTACTAATTAAATTGCAATGAAATCCATATTTCCTACAGTGAAATATTTTGCGAATATGAGAAATTGTTTCATAGGTAATGGGCCACAGGAGGGCACTATTGGCTTTTACTTAAGCAACAGAACTATTTAGTCTCACTAGAAGACCTAAATTATTCTTTACAATGAGAATCATTGTTTCAAACAGCCAGTTTTTCAGGATTAATTTTTCTACTGAGGCATAGAATCTCTATATTTTCAAATAATAACATATAAGACTGCTTGACTGTAAATGTTTCAAGACACTTTATCTCCAAGATATCATAATTCTTACCATAGTTAGCAGAATAAAGCTAAACATTAAATATTTAGCAGGTCTTGCAATAGAAGTTATGCTCTATTACTTCATAGATAAGAAAACAGACTCAGAAACATTTAGCTATCTGTTCAAAGTCTTTAACTTCACATGTTTTAGCACCAAAGATAACCCTAGTACAGAAACCAATCAGGTTGCTTACCAGATCAAAGTCCTGGCAAAGAAAGCTGGTGGAGAGTTACAAAACTTAGCCTACACTTTACTTCTTATGGCACATTAACCTTCTCGGTGTTTTCAAATTCTGTCAATCAGATTCTAGCATACTTTTCTATGTTCTACATGATATAGTATAAAACTGGCCAATGTAACCTGCCAAAAGGAGCACAGCATCAGCTATACTCATGATCATCAATGCATTAAGAGCTAGCAAGGTAAAGGATACTAGAAATGAATGCCAAAGGTCATAAAGGCCTACTTTGCATTGTTTTTTTAATTATGGAAATGAGGACTGGAACTCTATTGAAATGTTAGAAGCTATCACTTTTCTTTATCACTACCCGTGGGTACTGCCATGTGATTTTAAGTCTATTACATACGCTATTTTTACGCTAATATTACTCAAAATGAACACCACTCTTTGAGCTAGTTATTTATCTGATCTTAGAACTCTCTGTATTTTAACACATTTTAAAATACATGTATCTTAGTTTATGGATGTTTAGGGTAACATATACATTTACATATACCACGTGGATGTAACATACACATCCTTTTATAGTTTCCCAGCATCATTTTATATGTCCTTACCTTCGGAATGTAGGTGAGGCAATATCTGGATACTTGGAACCTGGCTGCCTGAGTCCTTGGGTACCACAGGCACTGGCAGAGGTGGGGCTGGACTTGGGGGAACCTGACAAAGAAACACTCTCTGAATCAGAGACTGCTACTTTTTCTTTCTCTTTGTCTGTTTGGTTGACAGAGACAGGACTTGAGCGCCCTGACCCAATCTTTGTTGGTTCTCTCAGCTTGGAGGTGGTGGCACCAGCTGACTTGCTGCTGACGTTGGAGTCAATGCTGCTGGTACTGGATCTGTGGCCACCTCTCCCCGGAATGCCACTAGCGCTCGACTTCGAAGGGCGGGGCAAGCTGCGGTACTGTAGCGTTGTCTTTGAGCTCACATGCAACACAACCTCATCCTGGTTCTGGGAACCATCTAGACTGGTTTTTCTCCCTGCACTGGACTTCCCACCGATGGCAGCGGATTTGGGGATTTTACCCAGAGTTGCCGAGCCACTTGTGATGGTTGCTCCACTGCTAGTGATCATTGCAGATGACCCAACTCCACTTGGCTTCTTAAATCCAAAAGAGCTGGTGGCAGTTGATCTTCCAATGCCGGATGGGGGCTTTTTCCCCTCATCCCCACTGCTTTTTCCGGCATCTGAAGGAGACCTTTGTAGAGATGATCCTTTCAGTGGTGTTTTCCCTTTCTCAGAAGCTTTGGCATCATCTGTTTTCCCTAATTAATGATAAATATAGAAACATATGTGCTTGCATGTTTTGATATCATAATATCACTTCCTAAAACAAAGTGCAAAATGTGAATCTGCCTTTAAGTTACTTCAGTTCCTAAATCAATCATTTTAAGCCTAACTGGGCACACATCCCAAAGTATTAAGATGATTGAGGGGGCAGTTACAAAAATTTGGCTGTCAGAGGAAATGCAATGAGAGATCAAGGATGTAAAATGCATAATTTTGCTACTTAAATATCGGTGGGAGGATTACATTGGGAATACCTTCTAATATCTGTACTCTGGACAGTACTGTTTATAATATCTTTGGGGGAATCATTAAAAATGGTGGTGTGATTTTTCTTAGTTCTTTCATAAAGTCTAATAACCAGCATTCTCCCACAATATCAGTATGACTGCTTTTTTACCCCTGAAACTCAGTGGTATAAGTACATTGCAAACTCTCACAAGAAGAACAAAGGAAGGCTGGCATTGCTAATTTAGCAGCCTTATTTGACTTTTACAAGACCAGAAATGACCACAGCATAGGACATACAGGAACCCCGAATTTTCAGAGTGCTCTCTAAAGAATGTCTACAGTGTTGTGTTTACATGAGTTTATACAATAAAGTATGTGAAATTTAGATTTTAAAAACTACTTAACTCTACGGAGAAGAACCTGACTTAAAAAAATACAAAAATCTATTAGTAGTGACAACAAGTCCTGAATGGAAACCCTAGGTTAAAACGCCCTGGTGAAGCAGGTGTCAAGCGACAGGCCTACCAGGGGTCTTGAGCGCACTTGCGCCAGCTTTCTGTCTGGCTGGAGCACTGCCTTGGGTAGACATGCCTCTTCTCCAGGAGCCGGTCTGCGAAACAGCCAGCGAGGCTTTCTGCCCGGCCTTCTCTGAGTCCTCGAGAACACCCGAGGAAGAGCTGCTCTTCCTCTTGCCACCGCCGTCACCATGGCTGTCAAAATCTTCTTCTGTTTTCTTCAGCTCCTCGGGACTATCCCAGGTCTCATCGGCTGTAGAACGTTTTTCGGAATCTGTCTTCAGCTACAGAGAAGAAACGGTTCAGGAAAAAAACTGATACAGAAAAATTGTGACAATTGATTTAAGATTAAAAAAAGAAGCACTGATTTATGCTTCAAAAAGAATTCCTGAGACAATTCTAATTTTAATCGAAGTCTTCATTTAAGTTTCATTAATTTCAGCCACATAATTCTCGTTCATGCATATTAAAGAATGTCAGGATAAATATGTGCAGAATTCCTTAATTATACACCCCAGAAAGGAAGAAATTTTCTTTGTCGAAAGTAATGAGGTAGCTGGGTGCAGTGGCACATGCCTATAATCCCAACACTCGGGAAGCTGAGGTAAGAGAATTGCCATAAGTTCAGAGTCAGCCTGGGCTGCATAAGTGAGTTCAAGGCCAGGCTGCACTACATAGCGAGACCTCACTGCAAACAAGTCAAAAAGTAGTGAAAGCTATGACAAAATAAAGCTTACTTATTTAATGAAAATTCTTGATTAATCATTCACATGAGAGCTGGTAAATTTTTTCAGAAATCAATACAAAATCAATTAAGAATAACACAAAGTTGGTAAAATAATTGTTAGATTTTTAAACAAATATATCACTATTAGAAGGAAATTGATATTTGGAGAGATGGGCTAGCATAGTCTCTGTGAGTCAAACTGTAAACAGTTCGATATATATATATATATATATATATATCTTTCAATGATCAAAACAGGCAGATGTGTACAATTACAGTGCCTGAGGGTTGCAACGTGAAGACTAAAATAAAAATTCTTCTAGGCCCAGGATGACAAAGTGAGACCGTGTTACAAGTCAACCTTTTCTACTTTAGGGAATTATGGAGTTATGCTGCAACTTCATCCAACACAAAATAATTATGGTGAAGAAACTGGCAAGGGCGACAGGGACAGAAAGAGGGCCGGTCTCACCTGAGTGTTCTTCCTGGAAGGGACAGTGATGTTGGAGTAAGAGCTGACCGAGGATGTGGTGTTCAGGTCATCAGTGCTGATGTTATCTAGGGTGTCACTGAGACCACTGCTCACGGAGCTGCTGTCATCCCAGCTAAAAGCAAGACATGTCGAGCAATGAGCCAAGTGCAGGTTGTACAGTGCAAGTCCCTGCCATTCCATTCAGCCTTGTCATCTACTAGAAAGACAAACCTCTCCAAAAATCTTACGATGAGAAATTACTCACTTTCCCTTTTTGAATATCATATCTGAGAATGACATTATTGAATATTGAGAAAGAGCCAGTGTATAAGGCAGATCTCATGTCTAGGGCAACATTTGTGGAATTAATGAAGACAATGAGACAGATATTGCATACTGTCAGGAAAGAATAATATACTAAATACTTTGTTTTTCCTGAAAAAGCAACTATGGGTCATAAAACAGGTAAGAATTCATTTTTTTTTTTCTAAAAATCAAAAATCTATGCTGTAGTCAGGAACTAGAGAGTCATTCTTCATTTTTTCCTACCTTTATAACTATTTCCATTCATTCACCGAGTCTTAAATATTGAGATTCATTCAGTCATGTCACCTTTCCTGCCATTCCTTTGAACTATGAGTAATATATAATATCCTCTGTCTGCTGCTCATGGTCTTTCCTATTATAGCTTCACTCACAAAATCTGGGCCAGTGATTAAAAATTCACATCTGGACATGACAGTGCCCTCGTATGCTCTTCCCAAACTCCTTCTTTCCAAACACTTGTGTTCTAAAAGAAAATGCATTTCCCTCAGGGTTCTCATAGAAATCCATTTGATGTGTAAAATAAATATCTGAAATTTGGACATCTTTGGTTTGATCTACACAAGAATAAATAAAATAGGCTGTATTAATATTCATGTGCAGGCTCACATGGACAACTTTATTTAGGCAACATGTGACATTATGTGGAAATAATGAAGGATAAACAAGCTAACCTGAAGGAAAATTGAAATTCTACTATACAAAAAGTGGGCTATAGCCTTCCCATCTACTGACTGGGCTACAGCTTCTCATCTTAAGCTATTAGGATATGTCACCACTTATTTGTGTTCTTCTAAGTAAATGTATGTAGCACTAAATATAAACAGTATGTATGGACAAAGGGAAACCTCATGCAGTGGTCATGTGGCATAAAGAACCTCTCCAAAAATCCCAGAGTGAAGAAAGTATTCATAATGACAGCATCAGCAAACCACCAAGGGAGATGAGCTGGAAGTATTTTATTGGCTACATCATGAAGTACATGGAAAATAACAAAGATATATTCTAATTACACAGAAACTAAATTAAAAATTTCTAAAATTGAATTTATAGCAATGTCATTCATTAATGTTCCTCCTTAGGTGTGTATTTTGTTGCAGATTTTACCTCCTGAGAGCACAAAATATCATAATTAACAAAGACATATATCAGAGTATTATCAATAGTTATAGTATGAATGTGAGCAAAAGAGTGCTTTACACTATAGCAAATAACTGTTACTTGCGGCTGCTTAAATCTATTGATAACCTCTCATGAATCCTTTTTGATAATTTCTCACATAATGAGCCACATGATTCCAAAGTAAAATGTAAAACAAAATTCCCATCCTACCCACACAGACAGAGAGGGCACACAACATAGAACCTATCTACCAATTATATGCACGGACTCACAGAGCAGGTAAACAATGTCTCGCAAGCAACGTGGCAGAATTGTTTCAGTTTTATCTATCAGCCAGCAGAGTCATTCAATTCTCTCCTATCAGCACTGGCAGATATCTAGTCTCCACTTCCAAGTGTCAGAGGCACACAGTAGAGGCTGCACAACCTGAGGCTATGCTTTCCTAACAGCCTGCAAAGACTTTGATTCCCCATTTATCCCGGGAATTTAAAGAGCCTTCTAACATGTTTATGTCCTAAAATACACCAAAATAGATTCTGTAGTTTACAACTCAGAATTCTAACTAATGTAGTCATTTTTAAAAACACTGTTTATTTCTTTATTATATCTTTTAGTTTTTCATAAATATTAAGTAATTCCTATAATATTTTCTCAGAAGAATATGTGCATGCAAATTATGAAAATATAAATACACACTTTGATGATTACTAGAATAATGTAAGGTTTGGGCTTCTCAAAAAGACATCTATTATGAAAATTAGAAGATAAACCAGAGACTAGAGGCAAACATTTATGAAAGATTTTATTGGATAAAAGACTATTTTCCAAAAAATAAAAGGAATCTTAAAAACTCAATAGTAAGAAAATAAACAAGTTGATTAAAATGGGACAATAACTTAATAGATATCTCACTAAAAATAGATATACAGATGGCAAATAAGCAGACGAACATCAGCGAGCACCATGTGTCATCAGGGAGTTGCAAATTAAGGCAATGCAATACCCGGTGTGCCTATTAGAACAGCCCAAACTCAAAACATTAACAGCACCATATGCTGGTAAGGATGGGAAGAAGTGTAACCTGTATTCATTACTGGGATGAATAGAAACGACAGCTCAAGGGTGGCTTCTTACAAAACTAAAAATATTCTCACCATAGGACCCAGCGACTGTATTCTGGTTTTCCAAATAGGATGAAAACACGTGTCTACACAGAAAAGTCTGAACACAGAGAGTTATAGTAGCTTCATTCATAATTCCCAGAACTTGGAAGAAACCAACATGGCACTTATTAGATAAGTGGATAATTTGTGATGTGTCCAGATGATGAAGAAGTATTCAGCATTAAAAATGAGGTATCAAGTCATGGAAGGAAGTAGGAGAAACATAAATGCATATTGCTAAATAAAGAAGCCAACCTGAAAAGGCTCCATATTGTATGATTCCACCTATATAATATTCTAGAAAACACAAAATATGGAGACACAAAAATAGTCAATGCTTGGCAGTGGTTGAGGGAGAGATGAATAAATGAAACACAGTGCATTTTTAAGCTAGTAAACTGTTCTTTATAATACTTGAATTCTGGATATATACACATACATTTTCCAGATACATGGAGTATATAACACTTATGATCTGTGTCTAGATGTCCCCCCCAAAGCTTCATGCAGTCATGGGGATGGGCTTCCAGAGTTTATCATTGACTTATGTTCCAATGCTGGGATTAAGGGTGTGAGTGCTACACCGTCCCTGGGCAGGTAGCCTACAAACAGTACAAGGGAGGGAAAGAGGCTTGTTTGCTCCTCCCTTTTGGCTTTTGCTGCTCTTGCTGTCTTCTGCCACCATGAACTGGTTGTTGCTCCTCTGCCCACCACCCTGCCTTGGAGCCCCTCAAGTATGGACTGAAATGCCCAGAAACTGTGAGCTAAATCAACCTCTCCTCCTTTAACCTTACACAAACACCAAGAGTGAACACTAATGAAAGCTATGAACTTTGAGTAATAAGGATGTGTCCGTGACAGTTTATCAATTATAATAAATGTCCCACTCTAATGGAGGATACTGTCATTGAGAAAGGCTCGGAATGTATGCGGTAAGTGGCATACAAGAAATCTCTTAATTTGTTTCTTCATTTTGCTGAGAACCCAGACATTCTCCACAAAATAAAGGCTACCAGTAAATGGTGGACTTTCCATCATGGCCCTAGCCTACTTCTCTAGCCTAAGCTCTACATGTACTTGGATTGGAACTGACTGGAACGGTGTGTATTTCCTACCACCAATACGATGTTTCCAACCTGTCTGCATTTGAGTTCTCCTCTCTGCCTATGTGGCTAAACCACACTTACTCAGTCCCAGAAGCCCACCGTGTAGAAAGATTTTTACACTCTGTTCTCCAGAGCGACTAGGTAACTTCCTCTGCACCATCATCTTGCCCCGTACATACCTCTAGGCCTGGATTTAGCATGTTGTTTTATGAATCTGTAAGGATGGGGTTAAGTAGATCATCAGAATGTGAATTTCCTGAGCTCAGAATTATTTGTTATTTTCTTTCAATCATTACTGGTCAGGAAAACATGTAACATTTAAATGTTGAATAAAACTCTCAAGTTTATTGAGATTAAGAAGAAAAGCAGTTACCAAAGTAAGATCTGATATTTACATGAGGTTTTAAGGAACATCTACCATAATATGCTGTATATTCAAAGAATGAAATAACAGAATGGTAAAAATTTTAATGAGTATTTTAAAAGTAACTGTGCTGTAAAGAAGATGTATATCAATATCTCTAAAAGTTGCTTTTCACCAATTTAAATCTTAACATTGATGAAATACAAAGTTAAGTGTAACAACTAGTACTGTAATTGTAACAATTACTAGTGCACGGTTTTAAAACAATTTAAAGTCTCAAATGAACACAATGGCTTTGTGGTTAAAACTATGATCATTGTGTACTGCAATCATGTCCTCATAAAAAATAAAAATTGGAAAAATCTATATAAGTGAAAAATACTCCAAAATAAGTCCTAAAGTCTCAAGCTCTGAAAAAGTGAAAGTGTAATTTTCTAATAAATTGCGACAAAGAACGAATTTCACATTTAGCTTTGAGGAAAAAAAGCAATGGAGTATTAGGATTAGTGTCTTAGATGTAGTTCTTTTAAGAAGGATACAGACGGTAAATATGGTTACTTAAGTGCACATTTCAGACTGCTGCCTCAGAATGTTGTGTCTTAATTCTATATTAATTAAAATGGGTGGGTTTTTTCTATTCATACTATCTTAGTTATTATATGTTTCTATAACAAAATATCAAGAGCATAACACCAGCACCCACTTGGCTCTAAGAAGGGCTTCCAGCTACATAGAAACATGGCAGGTGGCATTTGAGCAGAGTGAGTGCCATAGAAAGAGGATACATGACAAGACAGGAAGCCAAGAGAGTCAGGGGCCGGGTTTCCTCTTTGTAGTAACTTGCTATCATGGGAGCTACCTGAGATTACATGAAAACGAGAGTCTCTTCCAGGGCAGCATGTCCCAGTGACCTAGCCACTTTCAGGAGGCCCCACTTCTTCAGGGTTATAGCATCTCCACACCACTATACTGTGGACTAAGCTTCCGGTATAAAAACCCCTAGATGACACAATCAATCCATAACCAGAGCACAGCACACATTTTACAAAATGAC